CGTGCAAGGATTTCCCAAGAGATCTCCGGGCCAAGCTTTGAACTAGTCTATATCGGGCGAGTCCAAAGATATACTTTCACCACCCCACTGTTGATGAACATAGGTTTTCTCAACGTTGGCACTGGCATGTCGTCGACTCGTCGCAGAAGGCTCCGGCGTCAAATAGGGAGGCTCTTATGTTTCGTGTCGACATCAACTCTGGGGTAGAGTTAAAAGGAACTCAATCGCCGATTGTTGGTCGACAAGCGCAATCTTCTTGAACAATGCTGAAATCTCAAGTTCCCGCACACGCAGGGGACTCCCTTGTACAGTCCAGCACGCTACAATTCCCTTGTATCTGATCTGCCCAACCACAAGAGCTAAGTCAAAATACTCCGGTCAAAGCCCCTTCGCTCATAGATACACAGCTTGCAAGCTTCAGCCTTCCGCTATCATACGAACACAAATAACACGAAGCTCATCAGTTCATGCCAAGGTCAAAACCCTGTCCTCTAGCGAAACGAATCCTTCGGCTGCCATCCATAAAGCATTGAACATAACTTACATTTCGCTTTCGCCATTCGAGGACGTTTGCCCGGCCGAGATTGTGGAGCACTGTCAGATCTAAGACAGTGCTTCTCAGCCGCATAGACCAGGCAAAGATGCTAGTAGATGCGGGCGTGCCTGGGTTTGACCACCTGGGTGGAAGGAGCGTTCAGTTGACCCTACAAGAGCCGAAAACGGCTCACGGCAACCGGGCCACGAGAGATCTGTTTGACCAACTTTAAGATGAGGATGATCTTGAACCGGCGAATATTTGAACACTAGTCGAGAAGTCGAGCTGAATAGTCTTTCGGTCTTGGACATGGAGCATTTCTCCGCCAACAGAATACAAGAGATCTGCGGAGAGCTTCGCGGAAGTCTAACCACTCGTGCCGCCGCGCGCCAACCACCTGTCCTCAACAAACAGCAATTGGTTGTTTACTCGAGCTGATAATGTCCGCGATATGCATATTTCTCTCTTGCAGACTTGCACATGTCAAAAAAATATCGTACTTCTAAACGATCCGCACACGCTTGCTGTCGTCCGAAAGTAGAAAACTGGCCGCAAGCCACATTTCAATCCTGCTTGCGCAATGCAACATTCCTTCGACCAAATGTCCGCTGTTTCTTGCCCTTTCTCCAGTCTTGGTCGCTTACTCGAGCCCCTTATCTTTGGTAACCTATCGAGTGCTTACAACACATGCTAGGCAGTGATAACAACGTGCCTTCACTGGCTTAGCGAATTGCTGACATCTCGGTGAGGTGGCTCTGCTATTGCACCCTTGACAGGGATGGGCAGCGATTTATCGCCTTTACCCGCATATGCATAAGGCTACATGCATGTACCCTGCTCTGTACTGGCGGATAAGCAATGGATGAGTCCCATTTAGCCAAGATATTGGTACGTTTCCAAACAGGATTTCCCCTTCAGCAGCTGTCATGCCAAGTGGGCAGTGGATGCTCGTATTCTATTTGTTGAAATCCTCCTACCGGCAACCTGCAGATGCTCGAAGAGGATTCTCGATATTGGTGGTGCTTGTAGTCGGCCACGTCTGCCCTTCTCGAATACGATTCCCCCTCTCCTTGGTTCGTGTTCGTCAAGGCCGAGCCCTCTCTAATATAAATTTGACATCCTACAGAGTCATTACATACGAGGAGATGCAGACGAGTTACTTGAGATAATGGTCTCAGCGATCGGCGGTCGTACAGCCTGGTGGATTGATCCCCCTCTCCGCTGATCTATACGTATGGGTGAGGTACATTGGAGCTGTAGCGATCTGAAAAATTCCCGGTAGCTGCAAGTACGAACGTACACCGTTGTCGTATTCTGGTGCTCGCTGTGGGATACAGCTTGATGTCTTCAAGTATGCTCGTCGAGGTAAGCAGCTCGAATTAGACCAATGCCATCATCCCTGTACAATGTATGTCCTCAGTCAAGAAGGCACGCGCGTGCGCGTGTCATTGTACCGAGCACGGCATCAAGCATACCAGAATCCAGTCGTGCGGTGTGTTGCACAACACGCCTCGTGCCTGTGTTATCGAGTTGGTCCCCAGAGCGGTATAAGAGAACCCGCATTCCTATGTTTCGGGTCCTTGAGGTTGCACTGCGTCCATTAAAACGTGAGAAGGTCGATTCTATGATGCCGCGATTTGATCTTGTACGACCTCCCAGCGAGGGGGTGTGTTGCATTCCATGCCACGTGCTAGAACGTGCGATACTGGGCACTGTTCTGACCGCTTGTTACCTCGCACGACCTCTGATACAACGATCAGGATCTGGAAATATGCTCGGCTGATACTTTCTTCCTGGAAGTCGTACAATCCCTATGATCAATCTCGACCTGACGTTTGATTGTGTGGTCGAGATATGAGTCAGGGTCTCCCCAGTATCAGTATGTTGTAGAATGCGCAGAGGCGGCTCAGGGCCAGAACGATGACGCTTAGAACTCGAATTCGAGTCATTGTGCATTCTCCCTTGCAAACTCTGCACTGACAACTTCAATCATGGTTCACAGATATTGTCGCGCAATGCGACTTCACGTGAAGTACAATGGGCGAGCAAGAGCTAGGAAGTCAAGGACGAAAAAGGACGAAGTCAACCATTTCTCGGAGATCTGCTGCGTCGATCTGCCAGTCCACTCATTTTGCTTCAGTCGACACCAAAGCCAATCGTGATATACCGTCCAACCCATGCACATCTCGGTTGGTTGCATGAGGCTTGATATGGGCGTCATATACAATCTTGCTCTATGCAAGGTTAACGCGCCTCTTACGATTGTTGAATTGACAAATAACCGCCACGCAGGACTTACACAGAAGCAGCAGACTCTGCGTCTTTGTCAGGGGCATGGTAAGTGCTCGTTCTGTCAGAGTTGACGCTGGCCCAAGCACACGTCGAATTTGACTCAGTTGTTCAGAAACTTCTGATATCCCTCGAGGAGCACGGTGTTGAGGTTCAGTACAGTTGTAGCTGAATATAGTTTAGAAACACCTGACAGGATGTATGTACACAGGTTCTGGTTTAGAAGTGTCGCTGTTTTCGAGCACGAGCCACGAATCGATGAAACACGGGTCAGAATCGAGTTCATTGTTGTTGTCAATGAGCGCGGGCCACTGTTCGCAAAGGTATCAAGTCTGAGGAGACACAGACACCTGGATTTGGCACGTTCTCGTTTCGATTCTGCGCGAGACTGCACTCTTCTCGAATGTGCAAGACGCCGAACAAAGCTTGGATATGGTTCTGCACGCTGCTGCATGCTGGCGAAGCGAGCATCGATACGGACAGACAGATACTAAAGGTTAAATATGGAAATCAAGCATGGTAGAAAAAGCGAGACTGCTCTGACAATGCTTAGCAGAGATCCAGGGTACACAAGGCTTACTGAGGGCGAACACAGTTGTGAATCCTCAAGGGTCCAGGCAGAACACGCAACTGTCTGATGTGAGATGGATATACTTGCCATGTGTTTCTCGAGCACGACTTGTAGATTTTCAGTCAGCCTGTTTGTTGGTTGGGTTCGCTGTAGAATACACTGGTGTTGCTCAAGATGCTGTGACACGTCGAGACAGAGCAACGTGCGAGAAAGGTGCCGGGTGCCAAGCTACGGCAAGCCGGGCAGGAAAGGCACGATTCGTTGGATGGTGCTTCCACGGTTCCGACGCGCCGCGCACTGTCAAAATTTCCGTGCCATTCATAGACCCCACAAAACACTGGCCGCCTCAAGTTCCTCTACAGTTTGCGCTGGTAAAGGTATCGTATAGCAGATCCAAAGCGTGTGCCCTGCCCTCAGCCTGGTGTTGCCAATCTAAATTTGTCGCTCTGACATGATGATGCGACATGATTGACCGTACTGTACCTCCAACATTCAGCTCACGACACATCTTTGCGTGAGCTTTCTGGAACGGCGATCCACAATCCTGTCACTGAGGCCAGCTACGATCCACGGCGTTAGGGTTGGCCCAAATGCACACCAGCTGTGTATTCCATGTTCAAATCGCATAATGGACTAGTAAACCTCCGGTGGCAACAGCTGTCTGGCAACGGGCCTGACGTTCACGACCATGCAGGCTCCGCAAGTATATCGGACGTGCCAATAATATTCCGGACCCAACAGTAAGTTTAGTGGCATCTTTGCGGTTGCAATAGTCACTTGCTGCATGTTCTGCAACCTTGCTGAGCGTTCTCTATTTCGGTCGATCGGGGCCTTACTGGTTCGAGCAGCAAAGCAAGGGAATACGGACTTCGAGTCGCGGCTCTCCACACATCAGATCGCCTGTAACCCAGCATCGTCTCACGTTTCTTATCTGGTTTCGACTTTGACGCTACCCAACCGCTGAACTCAGTCGGGCTCGCTTCCCTGCGCCTATCAATAGTATGGTCGGAGATTCCTGCGACTCTGCATGGCATTCTGCTGGCTAGTCTCCATACCGCACAAGTGGACCCTCTGCGGAATTCCGCTGGTTGTAGACATCACTCTCCTCACGTCAGGAACATGGATCAAGGCTGGCTGTACACGTTCCGCCGGCTGTAAGGTGGTCATCGTAGCCTCGCAGTATCAGTGCTTCGCGAAGATCCGCTGCCGGTACTAGTGGTCTCCATACACAATCGCTCGATCTCATGCGAGTGGTTTTACCTTCGGACATTATTTGAGCTCCCAACTCAACTCGACAATATATACCCTCCTCGTTCCCAAGCTCTGTGTCTCCTTTCCTCATCCAAGCCATCTTCTCTTGTTACTTCGAGACGTCCAGCCCACATCTCAAGTACTCTACACTTCGTTTCATTGCATAGTATCACTCCCAGCCAGAGTATACTATCACCTTAATCCTCCCTTCGTTCTCCGACAAATAATATTCTGTTGACCCTAGCCAAGTCATCTGAGTATCGACTACTTTCAGTACTATCGCTCTTCAACCAGTCTTTCAACGAATCAGCCTAATTCACCAACTATACTGCAAGTCAGCTTCAATCCAACAAAATGTCCAACGTTCTTCTTTTCGGCGATCAGACCGCCGAGCAGTACCCTCTGCTTCGCAAGGTAGTCCTGAGAACCAAGAACGCTCTTGTTCTTAACTTCCTGGAGCGCACTGTCGTTGCTCTGCGCGGAGAAATCGCCCAACTCTCCCGTCCTCAGCGCGATGCCATCCCGGATTTCATGACCCTCAACAACTTGGTCGACCTTTACTACGAGAAGGGTTTGAAGCTCCCCCACCTCGAGAGTTCCCTGGTCACCATCGCTCAGCTTGGTCACTACATCGGCTACTTCTCCGAGAACACCAGCGAGCTCCCTCCTGCTGCCAACACTCGCATTCTTGCTCTCTGCACTGGCTCGCTTGCCGCTGCCGCTGTCGCTTCCGCCAGAACTCTCGATGAGCTCGTCACCCTCGGTGTTGAGACCGTCCGCATCGCCTTCCGCACTGGTGTTCGCGTCAATGAAGCCAGAACTGCTTTGGGCCAGGACCTTATGTCCAGAGAGAGCTGGTCTACCATCGTCACTGGTATCAACGAGCAGTCCGCCAAGGAAGCTCTGAACGCTTTCCACGAGGCTGCTGGCATTCCCACTACCAGCCACGCCTATATCAGCGCTGTCAGCACCATGGCCATCACTATCAGCGGCCCTCCTACCACCACTAAGCGCTTCTTCGAGGAGTCCGAGGCTGTTCGCAAGAACAACCGCGTTAAGATTCCCGTTTACGCTCCTTACCACGCTGAGCACCTCTACAGCAATGCCGATATCGAGACCATCATTGGCGAGGAGTCTGCCAAGCTTCTCCAGGCTTACCAGCCTCGTTCGTTGGTTCACTCCGGTTCATCTGGCATGTGCCACGTTGCCGAGAACACCCTCGAGCTGTTCAAGCTGTCTCTGAACGACATGCTCAGATCCCCAGTTGGCTGGAACAACCTCCTCGAGGAGAGCGTTTCCCAGATTACCGCCAACACCAACGCTTCTGCAAAGGTCTTCTGCATTGGTGTCAGCAACGTATCCAACAGCCTCGTCTCGGCCATCAAGGCTGGTGGCCAGTCTTCAGTCTCCCTCGTTGACCACTCTGCCTGGGAGTCTGCCGTCACTGATGCCACTCACGGTCGCACTCAGAACGACAAGATTGCCATCGTTGGTATGTCTGGTCGTTTCCCCAGCGCTGCCAGCACCGAGGCTCTTTGGGAGCTTCTCGAAAAGGGTCTTGATGTTCACCGCAAGATTCCCTCTGACCGTTTCGATGCCGACGCTCACTGCGATCCTTCTGGAAAGGGCAAGAACAAGTCGCACACTCCTTACGGTTGCTTCATTGACGAGCCTGGTCTTTTCGACCCTCGCTTCTTCAACATGTCTCCTCGTGAGGCTGCCCAGACCGATCCTATGGGTCGTCTGGCTCTTGTCACCGCCTACGAGGCTCTCGAGCAATCTGGTTACGTCCCCAACCGTACCCCCTCTACCAAGCTCCACCGCATCGGTACCTTCTACGGTCAGACCTCTGACGATTGGCGTGAGATCAACGCAGCCCAGAACGTCGACACCTACTTCATCACTGGTGGTGTGCGTGCTTTCGCACCCGGTCGCATCAACTACTACTTCAAGTTCAGTGGTCCTTCCTTCTCGATCGACACTGCTTGTTCGTCGTCTTTGGCTGCCATCCAGCTTGCCTGCACTTCGCTGTGGGCTGGTGACTGCGACACTGCCTGTGCTGGTGGTCTGAACGTCCTTACCAACCCCGACATTTTCTCTGGTCTTTCCAAGGGTCAATTCTTGTCCAAGACAGGTTCTTGCAAGACTTATGACAACGCTGCTGATGGTTACTGCCGTGGTGATGGTTGTGGTACCGTCGTCCTCAAGAGATACGAGGACGCGCTTGCCGACAAGGACAACATCCTTGGATGCATTCTTGGCGCTGCCACCAACCACTCTGCTGAGGCTGTTTCCATCACTCACCCCCACGCTGGTGCCCAGGAGTTCCTTTACAAGAAGGTTCTCGCCAACGCTGGTGTTGATGCCCACGAGATCAGCTACGTCGAGATGCACGGTACCGGCACCCAGGCTGGTGACGGCATCGAGATGACTTCGGTCACCAACGTCTTCGCTCCTCGTCACCGCCAGCGCAAGCCTGAGGAGAAGCTCCACCTCGGCGCCATCAAGGCTAACATTGGTCACGGTGAAGCCGCTTCTGGTATCAACTCTCTCTGCAAGGTTTTGATGATGATGAAGAAGAACGCCATTCCTGCCAACGTTGGTATCAAGGGCGAGATCAACAAGACTTTCCCCAAGGACTTGAAGGACCGCAACGTCCACATCCCTCAGCAGCAGATTGACTTCCCCCGTAACGGAGCCGAGAAGCGTAAGCTCTTCCTCAACAACTTCTCCGCTGCTGGTGGTAACACTGCCATCCTACTCGAGGATGGTCCTCTTCGTGAGGCCCCTAAGGCCGTTGACCCCAGAGGCACTCTTCCCGTTACTGTCACTGCCCGCTCTATTGCTGCCTTGAAGAACAACATCCAGCGTCTGCAGGGATACCTCCGCGAGAACCCCGAGACCACTCTTCCCAGCTTGTCTTACACTACGACTGCCCGTCGTATCCAGCACAACTACCGCATTGCCTTCCCCATTGGTGACATCGCCAAGGTCAGCGATGCTCTCCAGGCCCAGACCAAGGACACCTACAGCCCCGTTCCCATGGTTCCTACCAAGACTGCCTTCTGCTTCACCGGACAGGGCTCGCAGTACACTGCTCTTGGCCAGAAGCTCTACCAGGACCTCAAGTCTTTCCGTGACGACATCAACCAGCTCGACAACATGGCTACCATCCAGGGCCTTCCTTCGTTCATTGAGCTGCTTGATGGCACTGATGTCGCTACTCTTTCACCTGTTAAGGTTCAGCTGGGTATGGCTTGTATTCAGGTCGCTCTCGCCCGCATGTGGGCTTCGTGGGGCATCACCCCTACCGCTGTCATCGGTCACAGCTTGGGCGAGTACGCCGCTCTCCACGTTGCTGGTGTCATCTCTGCCAGTGATATGATCACTCTTGTCGGTCGCCGTGCTGAACTCCTTGTCAAGGACTGCACCCCTCACACCCACGGTATGCTCGCTGTCAAGGGTAGCGCTGATGCCATCCGTGATGTTCTCGGCTCCAAGATGACCGAGATTGCCTGCATCAACGGCCCCGAGGAGACTGTCCTCTGCGGCAGTGGCGAGGTTGTTGGTGCTGCCAACGAGACCCTTTCCGCTCGCGGCTTCAAGGCCACCAAGCTCAACGTTCCCTTCGCCTTCCACTCGGCCCAGGTTGACCCCATCCTTGAGTCTTTCAAGAAGGTTGCTTCTGCTGTCACCTTCAACAAGCCTGCCGTCCCTGTCCTTTCTCCCCTGTCTGGCGATGTTATTCGCGAAGCCGGTGTTATTGGCCCTGACTACCTCGCTAGACACGCCAGAGAGACCGTCAACTTCTGGACCGCCCTGACCACTGGCCAGAAGGAGAAGATCTTCGATGAGAAGACTGCTTGGCTCGAAGTTGGTGCCCACCCTGTCTGCTCGGGCATGGTCAAGGCTTCCGTTGGTGCCACCGTCACTGCTCCTTCTCTTCGTCGCAACGAGGACGCCTGGAAGACCATTGCCACCAGTGTCTGTGCCCTCTTCAACGCTGGTGTCCAGATCAACTTCGACGAATACCACCGTGAGTTCAACGCTGCTCAGGAACTTCTTCCTCTGCCTACCTACTCTTTCGACAACAAGAAGTACTGGCTCGACTACACCAACAACTGGACCCTTACCAAGGGCGAGGCTCGTGAGGTCCAGAAGACCATCGAGGCCGCTCCTCAAGCTGCCCCCGCCGTGGAGAAGCCTGCTAAGCGTCTCTCTACTTCCTGCCAGAAGGTTGTCCATGAAGAGTTCGAGGCCAACTCTGGTACCGTTGTCATCCAGTCCAACGTTGCCGAGCCCAAGCTCTTCCAGGCTGTCATTGGTCACCAGGTCAACGACACTGCTCTCTGCCCCTCGTCCTTGTACGCTGACATGGCATTGACCGTCTGCGACTACCTCTACAAGCAGCTCAGGCCTTCCGCCCCCAAGATTGGCATGAACGTTTGCGAGATGGAGGTTCCCAAGCCTTTCATTGCCAAGATGGAGCAACCTGCTGAGGGTCAGCACATCCAGCTCGAGGCCAAGGCTGACCTCGACGAGGGTGTCGCTCACCTGAAGTTCAGAAGTGTCACTCCTGATGGCAAGCTCATCCAAGACCATGCTCACTGTCTTGTCAAGTTCGAGGATATTAACTCTTGGACCGAGGACTGGGAGCGTATCAACTTCATGGTCAAGTCTCAGGTCGATGTCCTCAAGGCTAAGACCAAGACCCAGGAGGCTCACGTCATGCAGCGTGGTATGGCTTACAAGCTCTTCAAGTGCTTTGTCAACTACAACGAGAAGTACCGTGGTATGGAAGAGGTCATTGTCAACAGCCAGACCACTGAGGCTACCGCCTCCATCAAGTTCCAGAACGGTCCTGCCGACGGTGACTGGTACCAGGCCCCTTACCAGATTGACAGCATGTGCCACATCTCAGGTTTCATTGTCAACGCTACTGATCTGATCGACTCTGACAACAACGTCTGTATCTCGCACGGCTGGGGTTCGATGAGAATCGCCAAGCAGATGACTCCTGAGGGCAACTACCGCTCTTACGTTCGCATGCTTCCCAAGCCTGGTAACGTTTACCAGGGTGATGTTTACATCATGGAGGGAGACGAGATCGTTGCCGTCTGTGGTGGTCTTAAGTTCCAGCAGATCCCTCGCCGTGTCTTGAACGTCTTCTTGCCTCCTCAGAAGGCCGGCGCACCTGCCAAGGCTGCCGCCCCTGCCGCTCCCGCTGCCGCCCCCAAGGCAGTTGCTGCCCCTAAGGCTGCTGCTCCCAAGGCACAGGCCCCTAAGCCTGTTGTCAAGGCTGCTAAGGCTCCCAAGAAGGCTGCTGCAAAGAAGTCTCAGGGCGCTACCATTACTTCTCGTGTTATGCAAATCATTGCTACCGAGACTGATGTTGAGCAGTCCGAGCTTGTTGATGAGGCTGCCTTCGAGAACCTTGGTGTTGACTCCCTCATGTCCTTGACTATCTCTGCCAAGTTCAGAGAGGACCTTGACATGGAGATCAGTTCTACTCTCTTCACCGACTACCCTACCGTTGGTGAGATGAAGAAGCACTTCTCTCAGTTCGATGGAAATGTTGGCCCTGTCGAGGATGACTCAGAGGATGAGTCTGAGCCTTCAGATATCGCCACTCCTTACGAGGNNGACGACCTTAGCACCCCCGCCAGCTCTGCTCCTAGCACTGCTCCCAGTGATGCTGGAAAGCCTGACATTGACTCCCCCACCCGTGAGATCCCTGACTCTGAGGTCGGTGAAGTCAGCCTGGCTCGCCACATCATCGTACAAGAAATGGGCATTGACAGCTCCGAGCTTACTGACGAGGCAGACCTCTCCGAGCTTGGTATGGACTCTTTGATGAGCTTGACCATTCTCAGTGAGCTTCGCGAGAAGACCGGTGTCGACCTTCCCTCGACCTTCCTCTCGACCAACTCCACCATCTTGGACATTGAAAACGCTCTCGGTATGCGCCCAAAGCCCAAGGCTAAGGCTGCTGCTGCCCCCAAGGCCGCAAAGCAGACCTCGCCTCAACTCGACAAAGTCAACGCCAAGCTTACCGATCTTTCCAAGTATCCCGCCGCAACCTCAGTCCTCCTCCAGGGCAATGCTAAGATTGCTACCAAGAAGATCTTCTTCCTCCCCGATGGTTCCGGTTCTGCTACATCCTATGTCAGCATCCCTAACATTGGTGGCGATGTTGCTGCCTTTGGACTCAACTGCCCCTTCATGAAGAGCCCTACCGACTGGACTTGTGGTATTGAGACTGTCTCGCTCCTCTACCTCGCTGAGATCAAGAGACGCCAGCCTCAAGGCCCTTACATCATTGGTGGATGGTCTGCTGGTGGTGTCATTGCCTACGCTGTTGCTCAGGCCCTGCTTGCCAACGGCGAAGAAGTCGACCGTCTGCTTCTTCTCGACTCCCCTTGCCCCGTCAACCTTGCACCTCTCCCTCAACGTCTCCACGTCTTCTTCAACGAGATTGGTCTCCTTGGTACTGGTGACCCGTCCAAGACTCCCAAGTGGTTGCTTCCTCACTTCACTGCCGCCATTCGTTCGCTCTCTGACTACGAGCCTCAACCTTCGTTGAAGCCTATCAAGACTTACGCTATCTGGTGCCGTGATGGTGTCGCTGGTAACCCCGGTGACCCTCGCCCTCCCCCGGCTGAGGAAGAGGACCCTGCACCCATGACTTGGTTGTTGAACCACCGCACTGACTTCACTGACAACGGTTGGGCTCAGCTTTGCGGTAACGACATGAAGTTCGGTGTCATGGGCGGCAACCACTTCAGCATGATGAAGGAGCCTCACGCACAAGAACTTGGCAAGCTCATCCAAGAAGGTCTTCAGATCTAAACACAACAACAAAATCTCAAAAAAAGCAGCGGAAGGGTGCTCATGCTAGGATGCTGAGAGGCAGTGATTGCCTTGGGCTGAGGTCGATTGCGACTCCCACACCTTACTCTTGAGAAGAGGAGGATATGACTATAGGGTAAATGGCATGGCCTTTGCTTGGGCTGAGTGAAAGCCTTGTTACTGGCTCTTGTTTCTTGTCTTCTTCTTTTACTCTTCCGCCGCATGTGGCTTTGCTTTTTCCTTTCTTATTATTGTTCATGTTTTGCGATTTGCTTGCAACGATACAGGTGTCGGCTCGCTAGACGGATGATTGTTTTGCTTTTCTAATATTCTCCTGGAGAGGTTCACGATCTCATGGCTCGGTTCTTATGAATTTCGACGTTACAGTACGACAGGCCAACCAGTTTCTCATTTTACCTATACATAGTGTTTCAACCTCAGATGACTTTTTTTTCTAAACATCTTCCGCTTTATGTCTCAATGTGACTTGCTCCTTCCATGTCTGTAGCTTCTGCTTTTCGAGTCTGCACTTTCGCAAGTCTGCTTTGCTCATCGTACTTTCCCTCCTTTGAACAACACTCCTTTCCTTTCACTCTACAATCCAACTCGCTCTCGCCATCCCGTACCATTCCAGATCTTACAGCTCTTGGCTCTGAGACTCAATCTTGCCAGCGGGCAGCACCAAACACCTGCTCTGGCAACGATCTCCGACTCTTTACTTCTTCACGGCGTCATTCGTCTGCAACTCCAAAGCAGACCATACTGTTCATTGTTTATCTTGATCATCGGCAACCAAATCATTGAGCACGATCTACATGCGCGGTACCCATGTAACTCCTTAGTGTATGCGATGGGTTCAGGGTCTTGTCTTTCATCACCTCGCAGATTCGTCCGAAAATACTTCCTTGATCAACACCACCACTACGACGTACCGGTACACGTACTGCCCTGCATATCATGTCTACAAGCATGCCAAACTATTATCATGAACTCTATTGAGCGCCCCAAGGCTTCCGCGGCTGGGAGACAGGACAACTAGTCCCAGCCACCACAACGACATCCTTCAAGGTTGGATGACAGATTGCAAGGTTGAATGCACTTATCGATGGTCCAGAGCTTGGAGGATACGTTGATACTTGTGATTGAGAGAAGGTGTGGCTGGACCGGCGAACCAAAGACAAAAGATATACACTAAGTCGAGAGACACAACCTTCGTGGATATACAAAAGTTACTGGAGCTAGAGCAAAGCAAGAGCAAAGTCAGAGCAACAGGGATATCGCTGGGATGCGACGTACGAAAAACCGTTCAACCAGTAGATTCCGGAGCAGAGTCCACGCAAACTCCACGCAAAGAGCCGGACGACCAGGGGTAGTGACCGATAACTAGCTTATTTGCACCAGGCTCCACCTCTTTCTGTTTACGGCCGGATTAGAGGATACCAGCCGTGAAATCAGGCTGGCATGTGAAAGAAAACAGTTGACCGGTTCCGCGCGCGATAAGAACAAAAAGACGCATAGAGAGCGAGGAAAAATAGAGAAAGACCAGCCGACGACGTGTTAGGAGCATATCTCACTCTTTGGTAGAGAAGGATGACTCCGTCACCCCCGGGTGCTTGACTCAGCTAAGTTGGGTGCATGTCAGCACTACGGAAGCAACATCCTTCGACGATTTCATGGCATTAGCAATGGATACGCGGATCTTGTGCTTTGGTCCTCAATTGGGATATGGATTCTCTGTTGCGCATAGGCATTGCTGAGGTGATGATCGTGTCTGCACGGAGACATTGCATGGTCAACTGCATGGACTAAGGCATGGAAATATGGCGGTTGAGTTGTGCCGACATGAACGCATCATCAATTTTGGGTGAGTCCTGATGTAAGCAGGTGAGGTTGATGGCTGGTGGAGTCTGTGCTTAAGCTCCCTCGTCTCCCCGAGCAGGGGCCGGCATGCACAGCCATGTGCATTCCTTATGTCAACTATGTGCCCATACACAAATATGCACAAAGGGATGTGCAAGCATGAGCAAACAGCTTCCAAACACGACGTAACTTCCACATCCAGAAGCATTCACATGCGCAACTGCTAAAGTTCGTAAACAAGTGAATTCGCATTGCAACAGCAGCACAATCGCCTTTCCTTCCGGCAGAAACCCACAACCATGGCAACGACAAGGTGCGCATTCTCGTCATCGTCCTACCTCACGATTCTTCCGCCATCTCCACCACCACACCTTCTTCCTAGCAAACCACGGCTCCTAACAAGCAATACCAGCAAGAAAAGCGACGCACCCACAAACCCTCGCGGCATCCCCTTCGCCCCCTTCGTCGACAATGTATCCGACTACTGCACCACCCGCGCCGAAGTCGAGCCCACGCTAAAGTCCTTCTCCGAAATGATCCAAAAGTACCAATTCATGGAGGTAAACACACAACGCCGCGCCGCCGGCCTGCGCGAAAAGATTCCAGATATTTCAAAGACGTTGGACACTGTCAAGTTTCTGAAGAGTAGAGACGATGATGCAGAAGAGTTGGAGAGCTTTNTTGAATTGAACGATACGCTGTTTGCTAAAGCCAAGGTGCCAAAGACGGATGAGGTGTACTTGTGGTTGGGCGCTAATGTCATGTTGGCGTATCCGATGGGAGAGGCGGAAGAGCTGTTGGAAGGAAAGTTGGAGGCGGCAAAGAGTGGATTGGAGAATGCAGAGGAAGATATGGATTTCTTGAGAGAGCAGATTACGGTGAGTTTCACTACTTTTGGGTCTCTTTTCTGTTTTTGAAAGAGCAATGTGTATGGATCCAGGCAAAGATGCTAACGGTGTTTTGGAAAACAGACACTTGAGGTCGCCACTGCTCGTGTCTACAACTGGGACGTCAGCATGCGCAGAAAGGAAAAGGCCGAAGGCAAGACCTCCGATTGAACACGCCGACTTCGAGAAACAGAAGAGACGAACCAATGCCTTCTCACCGCTGTGTCCGATACCTCTCGTTAGCCAGAAAGAGCAAGGAAAAGCTGTGCGAGGGCACTCAAGGTGGTTGCAAGATGCAAGGGGTTGAAAAGGCTTTCAAGGCATCGCTCCAGCTGCCAACCAAAGCCCGGAGCTTAAAGAGACGGAAGCAATCGGCGGCATGGCACAGAATTCATAATCAACGTCTTGAACGAACTTGGTTGTTCGTAAGGCTGTCTGGTTTCCTTTCTGTCCTTTGACAAGAGCAATTCTATTGTACATATACATATATCACACAAACGACAAAAGCAATTGTTTGTACACAGCCAGACCGCAAAATAATATTCCCGCTCAATCAACGGGATTGGCAATGCATGAGATTCATATGCGCTGAGATTGCTGTTGGTGCAGTCCGACTTCTACGGAGAGTCCGTTCTCTCCGCCACTCTCGTCCGCAACATGTCCACTACATGCTTGCCTATCCATCTCAACCTCCCATCTCCATTATCCATAGCATCTTGTGCCCATGCAAACAGTAATCTCAAACTCCACAACGCATCCGCTTTAGTAGAATCCACACTTCGACTCAAGGCCAACCTACTATCAACGGATGTCAACTTTTCGTCCAAGTGAGTTGCGCTACGCGGATCAGAAGGCAGGACAACGCCAAAGTCTGCCTGGTCAAAGTTTTTCAAGGCTGGAAGGTTCAGAATCCACTCCCACATCTGGCGACCGCCTATGCTGGATTGAGCGTCGATGAGAGCCGACAAAGTAGTACTGAAAACACTGTTCGACGCTTCGCCTGGCGGACAACGACGCACGTAGACTGTTTGCGAGCGACGGAAGGTGGCGAGATGCTTAGGGTTAGCAGCAAAATCGAGCGTGACTTGCCAGTAAGTGGGATCGTCTGTGCTGATGCGTGAAATTGTATTCAGTTCTGGCAATAGGCAGGGAGAAGTCATTTGTTGCTGTCTGCCGTCTCGAGTCACGACGCGAAGCTTGACGTGAATCGGTCGTTTGGTGTCAATGTCTTGTACGACAATGCAACGAGGCTCGGCAGCGAACACCCAGAAGTGTCTGAGAGCTTGCAGATGTACGCGATTATCAAGGACATCGCTTGGAAAGAGAGGGTAGAATGCACACAGCAGAGATGCAATCGCAAAGTTGGAAGTTCCAAAAGTGTACGTGCCACCACCTAGGAACAATGTGCCAATGGCAAGATGAGCTGCGAGGTGTGATCCGTATGTTGTTTCTGCGTCGACTCGACCATGCAGTGAACGCAGGAACCGGAAGCTCTGAAGGTCACCAGTACCTGCCATAATAGTGGCCATGGCAAGCGCCAAAACATCGATGCAACGCTTAACGGTCGCTCTGGCTAGTTTGGCGTCGTAGAAGAAAGCATCTTGTTTCGACACTGCGATAAACGCCCTCAAGATTGCAATCACTTGGTCTCTGGCCTTTTGGTTACCACTACCAGCAAATCTCAAGGCCAGACTCCAAGCAAGGCCGGTCAGGATATTGAAGACCGGTACGTCCTTACTGCGTAGCTGAGGAAGAGTTGTCATCTCGATCGAACTTGTAAAGCCTTGACCATAGTAGCGGTGTGCATATTCGATGGGAAGGTTCTTGCGGATCCAATCGGGCTCATCAGTGATCTCGTCCCACATGATGAGGTGACTTGCAACAGTCCTCAAAAGCAATATGTCTGGGCGGCAATGCTCAAGCTGTGCTATGGTGTCAGGTATGTCTATCTTGCGTGCCACTGACTGATCTCCAGTCTTCATGTAGATCAGAATGATTGCAACGACTGCGCCAGCAGTGGCTTTGTCAACAACATGAACAAGTTCGACTGGTCGGGGACCGACGGCGACAGTCAACAGTCGCTCCAGAAGGTTCATGCCATGAAGTCCACGCAGATCACGACCTTTACCGATATTAATGTACCCAAGAGCGAATCCCGCAGCAAGTCGATATGATTCATCGCGCAATTGGTCCATTGTGCTCCCAGGGTCCTCGATTTCACGATGTTCGATCTCGGAGAGCATGATTTCACTCATTCGTCGATGCTGCGTATCATAGTAAACTAGGCCAATACCCATCAACCCAGCTGTCTGCGTACTTGGCGAAACATTGAGCTCAGCAGCACCATGAGGAAGCATTCTCGTGATATGTACGGACAACATTCGAGTGAGCAGTGTATCCATGGTGCCGAGATATGATGCTGACAACCCTAGCAGAAGACCTATTGAAGTCATATTGTGTTTCGGAGTCAGATACTTGAATGCAAGCCATTTAGCAAGGGTCCTTAGATGACCGTTTATACCAAGAGCGAGCAGGAATCCAGCGTGGCGGTTGTTGAGTTCTGACGGTTTGTTGAAGACAATCCATGAGGTATCGATACCCGTAGCGTTTCGCGAAATGCTCAGTCCTGCAGAAACACCAGCATGGAAGAAAGTCCAAGCAAATTTCTCTTCAGTGAATCCACTTCGGTCCGCGCTGATGGTGTTGTCCATCGGCTTCATCTGACATGATGTACTGAAGCCCTTGATATGGAATTTTTCTGATAGAAGAGGCCGCTGACTTTCAAAATGGATCATGCCATCTCCAGGCGAGAGTGCAAGTGTTCGGACCATCACCCATTGCATGACTCGCTTTTGTTGTTCCAAATGCTCGGCTTCGGACCACTCGGGTTGAGGTGGGCATTCAGCGACCTGAACTGCAGTAGGGTTCATCAACTGAGCCGCATCAACGAAGCGGCGATCCTCAGAGAAGATGAGCGAGATTACCGCGTGTCTTTCTGCTTCATGAGTCTTAGCCGTGAGAGGAGCACGGTCAGCAGAACTGTAGATAGTCTGCACATCATGAGGTACCAACACATTAGACGGTCCGCCTCGGCTCGGAGGACGGTTGGCATCTTTGTTTGGTTGAGACAAGCCAATCAGATCCTCACGTGAAACGAACTCTAGCAGATTTGAGGACCATGTTGTTGGGGGTGCTGTCTGACAACGGTTGATGGCTTCGCGGAGTGGAGCAAGTATGCCCTCAGGTAGAGTTTCGAATACTCCAGAACCGAGTTTCGCGTCCCTCATGGTTTCTACCAGAGCGCTCGGTGAAGTCTTGATAGCAGAGAAACGTGCAGCCAATGATCGTAGGGACGTCAATCGAGGGAGGATCTCGCCCGCAAGGCTCAAAGGTGTGGTAGGTGGTGTGTCTGTCCATAGAGAAGCTATTGTTTCGGCGCTCAAAAATTGCTCTGATATTTCTTGAACGAAATTCTTCTCAGCCCAAGCGAAAACAGATTGCGGAAGCGGACACGTATTTTTCACGGCCTTGACAGTCGTGTTCATCATGGACGAAGACAAGTCCCAGTCACTGATTTTATCGTCCGTCTCAAGGTAAGAACCAGCTCTATAGCTCCACATATCGAGTGAGAGCCAGTGTCCAAATTGAGCGATGATGGCACCAAGAGAACTAGCAACAATTCCCTCTGTATCGTCTGGAAGTGAATTGAGTTTNTGCTCTTCTCTGAAGAGATATAGCACAAGCATGATCTTGGTGCAACAAAGATAGCGTGAGCTGGCAGCTTCGGATGACACTAGCCAGTCCAATTCATCTACAGCGATGTCGTGCAATAACTGACGGGCCATTGTTTCGTATTCTATCAACGAGAATGGGTGCTTCTTGGTCTTATGCGTACTGCGGGGAGTTCGGAGCCTTGATCTTGGTGTGATGGTACTGAGTTTCGTGTTCATAGTAGGTCTCTCAAGCCAGTTCCAGGCAGGCGACACGAGCTTGTCAAGGTCTGAATTCAGGTTACGAGATCGCAGTTGACTTCCGTAGGTACCGAGTCGTGCTCCGTCAGCCACTGCAGACTTGCTTCTTTGGTTACCCCGTAAGGCCCTTCCAATCGAACCAGCTGCGAACGCGAAGATGGTTATGATCATCGCCTCCCATTCGACATCAAGGCCGTTAGTAAGGTGTATCTCATCAGCCACGAATCGATGATGTATGTTGCACCAGATGGCTGCAATTGAACCTCCTTCTTTCGCAGGAAGCACCAACTGACACATTTCCAAGATCTGTCGCACGGACGTAGACCTGGGACTAAGTCTTATCTGGAATCGGTTCTGAAGTCCATCTGATGAGACTATAGTGATTTTACCATGTTTCCCAGGATATTGCAATTTGCAAGGCCACTGTAGGGGTATCGACTTTTGCATATCCGCTACAGCCGAGTGTAGGATACTTGCAACGTTAGAGGGATGTGCGATGCGTGTATGACGCGAGATTGGAAGCGACCATGGGATACCTCGCGCAGGTATTATTCCAAGTTCTTGAGACTTGGCTGAAAGATAGGCAATAGCTGCTACCCGGCCATCTTGAAGCTTAGTGATGTCGGCAATGTTGTGTGTTATGTTGCGGTCATACAGAAATGGTATAGGCATGTATCGAGCCAGTATATCTTTGCCTGGTCTGGACTTTGAGTCATTCTTCTTCTGCACACGCAATTTAACGGTTGTCATGGACTTCGATGACGCGTCAAGTATGTAGAGTGAGATCAGACTGCTACTTTGATCTGATTGAGATGGATGAACCAGCGGAAAAACCTTGATGAGATCTTCGATCACGATGGAACCAAAGTTTGATACATCAGTCATGAAGACGTCGAGCTTGCGAATAACAAGCTCTTTNCGAAGTCCATCCGGTGAAGATCCCAGAACGGACTCAGTACCAGCAGATCTGTGAGTAGCTCCGATAAGTCTTTCAGCACTCTCAGACTCATCGGTATAGTCTTGCATTCGACTGCTTTCGACCTCAGTGGCATCATCTGGTCCGATGCTCTTGCTGAAGATGCTTCCTGGTGTTGACGCCCGACTTTTGCGAAGACTTTGATTGCCTCCAAAACTTCGACGTTCACGATCTGTGAAGCTGCCCATCGAAGGATACCTACGCCCAGCACCGCTAAAGCTAGCACCAAGGGCAGTCTGCTTGATGGACGGATCTGAGTTGCCAACATCAACACGTGACAGGATGGAACTGACTCGTCTGGTACCACCAGAAGGCTTCTTAAGCAGGTATTCGGGGTCCATTTGCGATGCCATGACTTCCTCGTCATCCTGTGATGGTCTTGTGGTTGAAGCAATTGACAGCCTCGTAGAAGCAGCTAAGCTTTCACGGACTCTATCACGATGATCACGTGGCTTCAAAGCAGGAGTGGATGCACCAGCTGTACGGCTAGTCATGACAGAGCTAGGACGTTTAGCCTTAGCTGCTTGGTGTGCCGCGCGTTGTGATAGTAAGTCGGAGAGCTTGGGAGGTTGCAAGTACCATGCTTGCCACACCGTGATTTGACCTAACTCTCTGTTCACAGTGACCAGTAGGGAGAGAGGAGCATCGTCGTGTCCTGCAGTCTCAGCAAGCTCGTCTTGGGCCGACACGTATACAAGCTCTTCTGCAGGATCAAGCATGTCATATTCGACGATGGGACCACTGGGAGCTCCAGGACGAGGAAATCGAGGTTGGCGGCAAACACTGGCATGCGACACAGGCGCTAAATCCGACAGGGGATTTTCTAGTGAGTAGAAGCGAGGCAAGTCATCCGTCGTATGCGTTTCTGGACCTTTGGTAAGATCCTGATATAAAGCATCCAGATTGAAGTGAGTCGACGGGCTTGGAGGCAGAACGCTTGGACGGTAACGATTAGCTCTCAACTCGGGAGACCGTGGCTGAGAGAATAAGTATGGCTGAGAAGAGGTGAATGAGTTCGGAGGTGGGGCAGGGATCGTGGGAGTAGGAGGCTCCTTAGTGATGGTTGTAGCCTTCCTCTGTACTACAAGACCGTCGATGGCAGGAAAGGCTTTCTCGACGTCAAACGGGATGTTAAGTACATAATTTGAGCCAGAGAGATAATGGATGTGCATCTCAGACTTCAAGATAATGACCAAAGCGCGATTGAAGCCGTGTGAGTCGCCAGTGCTCAACGTTAACAGATTCCTGGGATCACGCTGAGGCTTTGTACCCCACCTGGAGGCGTAGGTGTTTGAGGCGTAAGAGATGACATGGTTTGCAGACTTGGAGGCAGTGGAGGCAGTCTTGGAGAGAGGGTCATTGCGAAATCGAGTTATCAAGGCATGACTGACAGGTTGCTTTGCTGAGTCGAAGTTGAAGACTTTCCGCACATGACCGTCTTGCGACCAAACTACACAGTTTGATGTGTATAGGACCTCATGCTCGGAATCGTCTGAAGGACCAGGGTAGACTTTCCAGACGTAGTCCTTTGAGGTGTGATTTTCAGGCAAGACAGACTCAGAGATCAAGTAAGGCAAAGCAGAAGGGCGATGGACACCCAATGAGACAAAATCGGCCATGAATCAGAAAGTAATGTGGCTGAAGGTGCACACATTATTGTCGGATAGTTGATGTTTACAGAAAATCCATTGGCCAGAGGGGCAGGGAGGTTTTGGTCGATGCACCGCGAGTGATTCCAAGAGTATGTTTTCTGGCAAGTAGTGAAGCGCTAAGAGTTTGAGGCAGTCGCAGTCAACAATCTGATGTTATGTGAGAAGATGCAGGTGGTTCATGTCTTGAATGTTTCGTTCGTGGACGACGCGCTGGCTCGGCTGCACTTTCCCCGAGCGCGTCAACAGCTTCCTCATCTCAAGCAGCAACATGTCGACCATCTTTCTTTGCACAACCAATTCTTGCCTCAACCATGGAGACAGTCGCCTATGACTCTTCTGACAAGCTGCAGAAGCCTCGCGTTTCCCGTCATGGCAAGCGCATGCACCTCAGGTATGCGCCCTCCTCACTACCCTCTCTCGCATCGCATAACAAAAGTGTATNNAGCTACGACTGCCCACACCGACTGAATGTTTCCAAGATCTACCCTGTACAGAGCCCGCGAGGCGCCGACATTATTATCTCCGGACACGACGATGGTCTTCACATTCTCTGGAGAGGCGGCCGCCCGCTGTCGACTGCATCACGCACTGTGACAGAGCGCGTCAAGGACTTGTCAAACATCACCATCCAACACACCGAGTGGAACCAACCCATCTCAATTCGCAAGTCTCCAGTCACCGAAGACATTCCCGACCAGGCCAAGCCACGCTATGATACTCAAGACGAAGAGCTGGATGAAGACGAGCCATACCCATCTTTCACACAAGAGCTGAAGCTGTCTTTTGGCAGTCCCGTCCTCCATCTGGCTCTGCCAAACATCTCACAAGCTTCTTCCTCCCTGCAATCAAAAGCGAAAGTGCCCCTCATAGTCGAACAACGAATTGTTCTGGCTGTCGCATGTGCCGATGCCTCGTTGCGCCTGATCACACTCCCTCTCACACCTCCATCGGCGTCCGCCAAGAGAGATGGTCGCCTGGGTGCTCAGATCTGTGACCTCAGTCCATCTGCTCCGTCCTTGGCTATGGCTAGAGATGTCGCTCTGACATGGACGAGCAGCTCAAGTCTGTCCGCCAGCGACCATCAGATGGACCTTGACAACCCACAACAACAGGACATCACGAATGACGAGAAGCTCGATCTGCTCGTCGCTACTTCCACCTCAGCTCACCTCGAAACCCTCACCTTCTACCGCGTTCCCATCGACTTCAATGATTTGACCGGCGGCAAGATCCCAACTACTGTCGCTCCTTTCCACGTCGTACCGCTGTCATCCTCTGCGCAGTGTCTTCGCTTCAGCACTGCTCAATATCCCTCACGTCATCACTCTCGTCTTCTCATTGCCGACGTCAAAGGAACATTGAAGATTTACGATCCGCTAGCGCCAAAAGGTCGTCCCTCGTCTCGCGGCCCTGCTGATAATGCGTCTGTTGAAACTGGTACCTGGATTTCGGCTTTCAACACCGCATTCCAAATGCCCAAGGGAGCTACAAGTAATTACCCTGGCCTTGCTCACAGACGAAAGATCGTAGACGTTGCTTGGGTTTCTGGAGCCAGAGCTGCTTTGGTCTTATTAGATCGTGGTGAATGGGGTATCTGGGATATCGACGCTGTGACGCAGAAGAAGATGAACACTTTCGCCATACAAGGCTTCATCGGTAGTCCCGATGCTGCGCCTGCTTCAGAACTTAAAACCAGATCCACACAGGGACTCGCGCCATCGACACCCAACACCCGTCAACAACGACAGGAATCTCTCTTCGGCGCTCCAAAGCCCGCTGCACCAGCGACAACTACAGCTAGAGGCGGAGTGTGCGCTGTTGCAACAGCTGGCAGCCATGGCTCGGTCGATGACTCAATCGTTTTGTGGTACGGCAATGAAGCATATCACATTTCAAGTCTGGCGTCCCTCTGGCAGCGTAGTCTCAACAGTAGTGGCAAGGATATCGGATCTCTTTATGGACCAGGACTCTCACAAATCGAAGGACTGGATCTCTCTGGCGAGATTCTTAATGGTGTCGCGCAGGTTCCTGTCCGTTCCACTGCAATCAACCTCGGCCCTATGTCCCAACGCGACTTTGTAGTCACTGGCGAGTATCGTCTCGTCATCATACAGTCAATGCGACCACAAACACCCTCCAAATCACTGTTCGCACAAGCAACAGCTGGAGTGAGTAACGGACCTAGCATATTCGACCAACAATTACTGGAACGCGGAGAGCTAGACCTTGGTGGTATGGATCGCCTTCTCGACGGTATGGGCAGCAAGACCAATGGTTTCACGAACAAGAAACGAGTTGGATTTGCCGGGTAGAGAATCTTAGAATACTGACATTGCAGAATTGCACATGATGAAACCAAAGGGAAAGGTCTTTGGAATGAGCAAGAGAAAACCAAAAAGGTCCGCGATCGGACTATATACCCACAGTTTTTTCTTTTCATCCTCTTTCCAAATCACGAAACAATACCCTCAAGACCCAAAGAAGGTCTGTACCACTTTTGCACCGTTCCTCATGCCCGATACCTTTGCATTCGACACAAGTGAACAAAATGTATACAAACCCCGCGTTGCAAGGTGGAGCATTGATATTTCAAGAGCCATGATCCTTGCTCAGTATTCCACGCGGAACATCAAAACATCCCCCCTCACAGTCCAGCCTTTCATGGCAAGCCAAGCTTGCAATAAAAACAGACCTCAAAGAGGTACCTAACTTGTTTGAGCGAGCATCTGGTGGATAGAGAGGGATATACGATACTTTTTCTCCTATCTTCGTCAACACCAATGTCAGTCTTTTCTCAGTGGCTGGGATTGGTGTTTGGGAGGTTGTTATAAGTGTCGAGACATATTTTTTCCTTTAGTTTTATAAGATTCAATATTGTGATATAGAAGTCTTTTGTTATACGAATTTCAGAAGTCTTATGATGTTTTGTTTCTAAACTTAATAATGTCTTGGGTATCTGATATTTCGAACTTCAAGCCAATGTCAATACATGACTTTCGTCTACTTCTTGCCCTTTCTCAAATCCACGACTTGGAACTGTAGACCCGATAACTCAGAAACATGGCCAGGTCTCGTGGCATCAGTGTATAAATTATCCACATCATGAGGATGAAACAATCCAGGCTTATGGCAATTCAAAACCGCTTGTTTGCCCGGCGGATCCGTAAGGCGAAAAATACCATGNACTGTTTCGTTGGTTAGCAAATTCTCTTCTGATGGACATATGTGCAAAGGAAGCAATACTCACTCAGGCGACTTGCTAGGAGCACACACAATAGCCACGCTCTCAGGCAACATAACCTGATATCCCACACTAGTATGCAAATCCCTCGAACTCAAGAAACAAGTCTGGGTCGGATGTGTGTGTATCCATCCACATACCATCAAGCCCTCATTATCCACATAATCAAACAGATCCGTCTCACCCTGATCGGTGGTTTCGCACGTGTCGGAAGTGGCTGTTTGGTCTGGAATCACCAAGTGCGATACAAACAGTGCGTTGGAGATTAAAGTGCCACAGAGAATACCGCAGGTTTCGAGGTTTGAAGATGTGTTGGAAGCGGCGAGGGAGACGAAGGAAGTACGTAGGGAGGTGGGGAGGAACAGGGTGCGTAGTGGAGTGCCGTTTTCGGTGTAGGCGGCTGGTTGGAATTGGTAGGATTGGGTTGGTGATAGATCTTGTTTAGGTGGTGGTGCCGGCCCGCCGGGCTTTGAGGGTAGCGGTGGAGGAGAATTCAAGGATTGAACTGGCTTTCCAGGGAGTGGTGGAGGTGCATTGTAGCTGGGTAGGTTGTCCTTGGGCGGCCGACTGGGTGCAAGCGAAGACGACGACAGGGCAGCGGTTGCGTGAGCCGGCACCGAGGGGTAGTTGTATAGCGACGAGGTCTGTGAAGTCGATGTGTTGCGAGAATGTTCGCGAGGGCCATCAATGCGTCGGCCTAAGTCTTGGATGCCACGGCTCAGGTCGTCCATGGCAGCATTGTCGTCGCGTGGGTCTTTTGCTCTCCTCCGGAGTTCGCGGTTGGCGAGTTGCAGAGCCACATCTTTGTGCTCGGCAGCACTGAGGACAAACGACTCTTGCGACGCAGCTGGTGTGTCATGCTGTGACTTGAGTTGGTTCCTTCTCTTGACAACATCCTGGTACTTTTGGTAACGAGACATGATCTCAGGCTTCAAAGCCTCCATACGCGACAGATCGGCCTTGACATGGTCGCGGGTGCGGGCCATCTGGGCCTTGTACTCTGGCTTCTTCGCATCCGGGTGTTTGGAGATGTGGGTAAAGAAGAAGTCGGCATGACGGTAGAGGAAATAGTAGGCTTCTTGGAGGTTGGCATCGCGCTCGTAGTTGGCGGCCTGGNNTGTTGTCTCGATTAGGACGGGGCGGGCGTGTCGGTCGTGTACGATGCATCATCTCACTTGGCTGGTCATGTTCTGGGCGGTACGCAGGGCCATGTTGAGGGGGATGTTGGCTGCATGGTCGAAGTTGGAAGCCTCGGCGACAATCTGCTCGACGCTCTTGGGCGCAGTCATTGCCTCGGATGCTGATGATGTTGGTCTATGGTTGTTGTTGATGTTGGGAGCATCGTGCAGGTTGTGGGGTGGAGCAGGAAGCAATGACGAAGCTGGATGTGACAAAAGACGTTGATGGTTGCGCTTCAATGCTTCGACGTGGATGCGACAACGACCATGGCACCGCCACTAGCACAAGCGGCCAGGATCGCGTCCAGGATTGCCACTGCTGCGAGGGCGGCCGAGAAGACTGCGACCAAGGTCAACAAGGGAGAGTTGGCCGCCGCTGTCGCGCAGCTGAAAAAGGCCAAAAAGTCAAACAAGAATACAGAAGCTGCTGCCAAACCAGAAACTCCTTCTGTAGATGTTCCAGACATCTCCGAAACCACGCGCTACAAGAATCTCTCCTCGTACCGGAATACCCTTACCTACTATGCTCATCAGGATTATCCCTTGAGCACCACTCTGAGCAACGTCTTTCCCGAGAAACACCTGGGTCCCACCAGCAGGGAGAAGTTCCCAGACAATGTTGACGTCGTGAGCGAAGCTCTATGCGATCAAGTCATTGACTATATTGGCCCCGATTTGGACAAACACAAGGGCTGCGATATCATCGATCTCCATCCGGGCGCTTGTCTGTGGTCCAACAAGATCCATGAGCGCCTCAAACCCCGTCGCCATCTCCTTCTCGAGCCTGATGAACGCTACCTAGACCCCTTTATCAAACCCCTGCTGGACCAAAAGGAGTCCGCCTATCGCCACACAACCCTGTCCGGCGCCGCTCCAAAGGGCTACTTTGACACTTACGACAAGATCTTCGACGACCACCTTCTGCCACAAAGAGATCCCCTACCTGCCAATGACCCACGCTTACGTAAATCAAATCATTCTTTACTGGTCATTGGCAGTCTGGTTCGTCGCTACAGTGGACTTCGTACAGGCACCAACGCTGTCGCTTTCCCAAACTTGATTTTGCACCACCTGGCTGAAGCTGCTCAAACAAACATCATGTTTCAACGCTACGGTCTAATACGTGTGCTTCTCTGGGTTCCCGATGAGATCAAGAACAGCATACTGCCTGACACGGTTCTTCACAGAACGGGCTACTCCATCAATCTTGAGTCGGCTTTTAACATTGCTGAGGTTGTCGGTAGTGATCGCTCTCAGATGTCTCGTACCGAAGTCAACAAGAAGATTCTCCATCGCCAACGACAAGACCAACTTGATGTTTGGAGTGCACGAAGAGTCCTTGAGCGCATGCAGTCCAAAGCCATGGCCATTCCCGAGCATCGCCGACCCGAGATGCATCAGCGAGCTCTCGACGCCGACGATCAAAGTCTATCAGACTACAATCCGATACGTCTCCCCAAGGACAAGCCGTTGCAAGCTATTGTCGATGATCACGAGGGGCAACTCAAGAAACTGGCAGAGTTAGCAGCGATTCCCAGAATAAAACGAAAACAACATACACTCCCTGAGGCGAAATTCAAACTCACAAATGCCAGCCAGGAATACATCAAGGTCCAAGATCAGCCCGGCTGCAGACTCTGGTTCGATTCTTGGGGTCTACAAATTGCCATTGAAAACGAGTTGAGTGCAACCAAGACTACAATGGCCGAACAACTACGAACGGACTTGGAGACGAGGATTCTTGCGGCCGACAAGAAGCTTTCGTCCATCCAAGAGAAAATGTTCAGTAAGGACGTAGTAAAACAGATGGTTGTTCTTATGAACGAGCTGTTCGCGCTGTGTGGGCCTAACCCAACGATGGAATGGGACAGACGACCCTTTGAGCCCATGACGGCGGCTGAGGAGGAATTCTGGCCTCGCTTCCCTATGCGACTGGTTGACCTCAAGCCACGAGCAGAAGCGCTCGGAGATGATTTGATGAATCCGACTGAAGCCAACCATGTCCGACGTGGCCTGCTCAAAGCAATGTTCACGCACCCTGCAGCTCCACTCATGGATTCGATCGATAGACTTGGACCCGGAGCTCGCGATCTAGTTGGGCCTGAATTTAGTGACGCTTCGTCGGGTGGAAGATTGGACCCCAAGCATCTGTTGACCAGAGACATTACACGGGAGCAACTGACCGCTCTTACCAAAGCGTATATCGAGTGGCCATTCCGACCACTTGGATCGGAAGCGATCGAAGCCAATGAGGTGGAGGTGGTGTAGATATAAACGTCTTGACATGATAGAAGATACCCAAACTGGTTGTCTGAGACAGCCCCTGTACTTATAGAATACACGAAGGATATCAATATACCGAACCTTTTTCGATCCTTGCCCCCAGCTTTTTGTACATGTAAATCGACCCAGAACGCCCGCTATGCATTGATGACCAAAAGCACAAACATGTCCTTGGGAGGTTTACTTCTGGCCACCCTTGCCCTTGCCACTTGACTTGACCTCCTCCTTCTTGCCAGCAGCCTTGTCATCAGCCTCGGCTTCGTTGCCGTAGTTGGAGATGAGGTCGAGCAAAGAGTCCTCTGATTCTTCGGGGGTCAGAGCTTCTTCGCCATCGCGNCGCCTATTGTGCATGTCAGCAAAACATGCTCTTTGAGAATCCCAGACAAAATAGAAACGCACCTCTTCGGAACCAGCAACAGCCTCAGCATCCCAGCCACGGCCGAAACGACCTCTGAATCTCTTCAAACGACCAGCCTCATCCTCTTCAATGTTCAACAGCTTCTGACTGCTGGGGTTCCAGAGCGGGTTGTTGCGCACATCTTTNGTGCTGCGGTAGACAGGTTGCGGGCTGGTGGTGCGCTGGACAAAGGTGCTGCCGTCGGATAGAGTGACGAGCTGGGTGAAGGTGTATGGTCGCTTGGGGCGGCGCATCAACGATGCATGGCGGGCTTGTTGTGTCGATGAAGAGGCGATGCGCAAACTTGCGCGGGGTGTCTGATTGAGCAGCATAACGGTAGTTGGACAGTGGAAAGTCTCGAGATTTGCGCAGATACTGTCTTAGCGTCGGTATAGGACTCGTAGGGCTCATTGGATATCAATTTTGCGGATGTCGGGATTCCGCTCCGCTCCGCCTCGACGATGCCAAGATATTTCCGCCGCCGCTTTGTTACCTCATTCGGCAGGAAGCTTGAAACTATCATCACGACTTCGTCAAGCTTGATTCAGCAATGCCAGCGGCAGTCCGAGGCCCTGCGACCGGTCGCTTCTATAGAGCCTTTCATGCTTGGTCCAGCATAAACAACGTCTCGCACCAACAACAACGATGCTTCGTACCGACCGCCTCACTCTACGAGACCGATGACGCCGGCTCACAAGTCTGGAAATATAAGGCGAAAGAGGACGGAAAGCATGTGATACATGTCGCCATGCCGCAGGCTCGTTTCGAGCGTATGCAGCAGCATCCTACCTACTTTCAAAGGATGCACGCTGGAGTCAATGCCACCCTCGAACCCCAGGGAGCCCCGACACCAGACGGTTCTCGCATTATCCGTGTCGAAGCTCCCAACTCAAAGACTTGCGCCTATGTCAGACAGCTTCTCCGGCGGCACGCTGACGACCAGCAAGCTCTTGACAACACTGTCTTCAAGATGGATAGACGTGCTCTTAAGAATCGCACCATCGACTTGAAAATAGAAGTATCACACGATAGAGCCGGCTTACTCGAGGACAATGCCAACGAGTTGGAGTTGCGCATTGAAGAGAAATTTTCGGTACAATTGAACTTTGTACCCAGCCTGGAGCCCGTCGATGGTATACGCACCATAGCCATAATCGGTCGGCATCCAAACGTAAACGCCGCTAAGGATTTCATAAATTCTCTGCAAAATGACTTGGAACAGTCAATCCAAATCGAAGAACAAAAATCCGACAAATCACTCGGGACATCGCCTGAGCCATCTTCTGTGGGCTTGAAACCAGAAGACAAGCCTGCAACTATCAAGGATATGTACAAATCCACCATGCGCAGCGTCCCATCCAGCGTTGTCGTCTTGACTACTAAGACTTCGTCTTCAGCTTCTGACATTGACTCGCTCCGTGGCATGACAGTCTCGTCCTTGACTTCTGTCACTCTTGAACCAGAACCCATTGTTTCTTTCAGTATCCGAGGGCCAAGTCGTACGCTTGATTGCATTACCGCTGGCCAGCCTTTCACCGTCAATTTTCTGAGTGCCCACAGTGTAGGCGCACAAATCGCCGACATCTTCTCCAAGCCTCACGATCATCCTTCTCAGCCTTTCCATGCTGTCAGAGCTTTACAATTGGTTACTAAAACCTTCGGGCTAGGCAACGGTTCTGGTCCGCCATGTCTTGGTGGAAAGAACGTTCCCGCGCGCTTTACGTGCGAGCTGTTGCCTGGGAAGTCACTCGAGATTGGTGACCACACTGTCATTTTCGCCAGAGTCACCGACGTTTGGAGGTCTCAAAAGTATCTCGATTCACAGCGCAATCTACCCACTTTCCTTACTTATGCTCAAGCCGGCTATCGCACTCTGGACCCCCTGCCAATAAAGTCACGTAAATCGAAGGCTCTCAAGCCTGACCAGACCGGAAAGTCTGCTCTTAGCACATCAGAGGCACCAATATCACAACTTCCACAGACAGAAGTAAAGCCTCAGGAAACTCAAGCTTTTGATGAGGATGTTTCTGCAGAGATCACCAAGCCTGATATTACCGACGATGTCGTAGATGCATATTGGCGCATGGCTTTGGATGAGGGTGAGGAAGATAGCGTCCTCGAGGAGCGTGCTGCTGATCAGCGTGCTTTGGGTGAAGCCCAAAGACCAGCCGATCATCCTGCTGCGGATGTTGAAGACGACTTTCTTTACGACCCGCTGTCTCCGAAAAAGCAGGAGAAGTGAGACGGCCTCGCCCAGAAGCTGTTTCTGCTCATGATGTAAGATTATATATACTTGTACGATGAACAATGTATTGTCCGGGTGAATGGACATATCCTTTTCTCAAGTTCAAATCAAGACCATGGTTGCGTTGGTTCAGATGATACTAGTCGAATTTTCATTTCTGATGGCTTGCGAACCTCTTCCCAGTCTCAACCTCGATGTGGGTTGCACGTTCCTCGCTGTGCTTACAGAAGGCTTCCAATTCCGGGCTGGCCGAGACTCTTCCTCCCTTGCTGCTGATCCAACATTCCACTCCATTCGTATCAGCAGATGCTTGGCATACCCCTTGTCACATATGGAGCAAAAACTCATTTACCCTTCTCTTCACATGCAATCATCTCCCAACAACTGTTCTGTTGGTATCGGAGCGAGAACATGGACAGCTCTCCTTGCCTGCCATACGAAGAAGGATGCGTGAGCTGACATTCTAGAGCATTCATCTCTGACCGGCATTCATTCTGGTCCAGCATTCTTATGCCTGCTATCAAAACATGTACCAATAGTTGAGCCTCATGGGAAGTTGCTATATAACCGAGTCTTCCTCCAGAATGCACCTCAAGCACAGCAAGCGGTGTCTTCGCCATGACTGGCATTACGTTCTTTACTGGTCTCTTTGCAGGCCTCAGCCTGGTTTATGCACAATCGATCGTTCCTTCATCCAGCTTGTGCCCTGCTGCCAATGGTCGCACTATTTACGACAGTAACGGAGCAGGTTACTTGGTGACGTGCTCTGCAGACAATGACAGAGGCTCGTACACCAATACGCAGGCTAGCAACAATTATGTCGACTGTATGAATGCTTGTGATGCCGATGCCGTTTGTGCTGGTTTCACTTATGTGGGAGGCAATCGTGGTTCGGGTTCAGGTATTTGTCATTCTGCTCTCTATCAAGTCTCCAATACTGACTCAACTGTGAAGGAACATGTTGGCTGAAGTCAGAGATGTTGGGCTACCCTTCGAGAAGCCCGAACATTATTTCTGCAGTCAGGGTATCCAATGCTACTGGCCAGGCTGACATATCGAGCTCCACAACTGTGCTGAGCAGCAGTATCTCTAGCTCTGCTGGATCATCCGCTGTGTCCGCTACTCCATCAGCCTCGTCTACACCGTCTGCTGATCTCTGTCCGTCGTACAACTTCACAACGTACGCGGACAACGAGGACAATAATTGGCAGGTCTTGTGCGGGTTTGACACCTCGCCGTCCTCCTTCGGAGTTGTAGATGTTCCCAGTTTTGCAGACTGTCTCGAAGCATGTAATGTTGAAGACGGATGCGTTGCTGTGTCATACTACGGAACCGCTTGTTACTTCAAGGACGGCTACCAAGAAATGGTACCTTCTAGAAATGTCAACAGTGCGTTCGTCATCAACCAAGCCAACTACCCAGTACCTTCAAGAGACGAGGTGTACTCTGGCCGAGGATGTGGCTCTTCTTTGCCTGCTGGTCAAGTTCCAGGAGGACCGACTACTCAGTTTACCATCAACTCTGCTGGTCTGAATCGCTCGTTTAGTGTTCATGTGCCGTCCTCGTACAATACTAACAATGCAGCTCCCTTGATCTTTGCTTTCCATGGTCGTAGCGAGACGCTATTGAATATTGAAGGATACTCTGGCTTGTCTAGTGAAGCTTTGAACCCGTACGGCATTGTTGTTTACCCCTTGGGTGTTGCAGTATGTTCTCCATCCACATGATCAGTCTGCACACTTTCTAACACTATCTATAGGCAAATGATTCGGGCTACCCTGNAGTGGCAGAGCGACCCAGATACCGTTGATCGAACTCCTTATGTGGACGATCAGACGTTCGTACAAGATCTCATCGTCCACATGACTTCGAACTACTGCATCGATACTAGTCGCATCCTTGCTACAGGATTCTCCAACGGCGGTGGTCTTGTTGGGGTTCTGGCATGCAACTCTTCGCTGTCCAACCAGTTCAGCGCTTTTGCCATCAACGCCGGAGCTCAGTATACCAACGATAGCGATACTGCTGGCTGTCCTCAGTCTGGCGATGTACCCTCGACTATCTTGACGAACACTCTCGTTCAGCCTGTGTGCTCACCCGGCAGACAGAATGTTCCAATTTTGGAGTTCCATGGTGATGCTGATGGTACTATTTCGTACAATGGTGGACCTCGTCGTGGTTACTGTCTCCCTACTATTCCTCATTGGGTCTCAGACTGGTCGGTCAGAAATGGCATGACCAATGCCAGCGTTGTCACACCTCTTGCAAATGGTCAAGTTACCAAATATGAGTATGGAGCAGATGACGACCAAGGACTTGTCACTCATTACAAAGTTGCTGGTTGGAACCATGCTTGGGTCAGCACAGCACTTGGTGCGCCGATAGATTCTACACCCATTATCTTGGAGTTCCTCTATCGGTTTACAAACCCCAATGCTCTTCGATATATTCCTGCGCCACCCAGTCCGCCAGCGGTTTCTAGCACTGTGTCGAGCTCAACTTCGGCAATAGCGACTTCATCGCCTTCTGCTGGGATTCCTTCGCCTTCGTCGAACTTGTCTAGTGTCGCATTCCCCAACGTAACTGCTGTTAGCCCCTCGCCCAGCAATATCTCGTTGCCTTTGAACACAACGACGAGTCTATCTGTACCTCTCACTACAGCGCCTGTCTCTGTCAACATGTCAACACCATTCAACGTCTCATCCATTACCGCCGACTCAACGACTGCATTCAACACCTCCATCGTATCTCTTCCTGACACTGCAGTCCTCTCTTCAGCCTTCTCAACAGCGACTCCAGCTCCCTTTGCGAACGCTACAGCCACTATGGATACCAACATAACCCTCCCAACCTCCTCTCCAACATCCGTATCTTGTCCCTCCAGCAACAACACCCTCTACACCGACCCCTCCTCCGACTCAACCTTTGAAATCCAATGCGGAGATGACAACACCATAACCGCCGAACCTGTGAGTTCTGGAACTGTTACCGTGCAAGGCGCTTCTTTGCAAGATTGCATCGGGTTCTGCGCTATGATGAGACCGAGTTGTCAAGGTGTGGATATAAGGAATGGCACTTGTTATTTGGAGACTACGAGTAATGAAGGTGCTGGCAGGGTTGAGGGAGCGAGGTTGTTCGAGAGTTTGGGAAGACAGATGAGGTATTTGATCAAGTGAGGGAGGTGGATGAGGGGGTTGAATGGTGCATGTTAGGGTTATGTTGGACTAGGGCTTCTGATGAGTATATCGAGATGTCAGTATGATAGGTTTTGATCGATTCTCGATAGATGAATCAGATGTTGTTGTCGTGCCCTATGTGAGGGTCAAGTGTCTGGGATGTTCCTGCCGATCACTTGACGCTTCCGAAACGCGCACCGACCAATCGAGTTTCGAACAGAATGACCTCGAAACAAACATGCTATATCTGCATCATCTTTACTTCTCACCTACACGAGTTGACAAACAAATTAATGCAACTAGACATGGACATGCTTGGTCTGCTACAACTATATCATGCTTTGTCCACTTCGGCGTGAGTCGCGTTCACGATAAATATCGAAGCCAAGCAAAGTGAGTAGGTGAGCTGATAGGGCTTATACTGCTGGCATGCTTGAAGAGATCATTGGGATCGTCGTCTTTCCTGCAGTAGTCGTCAGCGAAGCTCTGTTCCACAATAACAGCAACTCGGATGTTCAGCAAGCATCGTCGTCCAGCCCTATAAGCTGTAACATCCAAGACCTGCAGAGAGCTCTCAATGTAGGCATCTCAAGCGAAGCTCAAGAGTATATGTAGGTTTACCACGAGCTCTCTCTTTTTTCTTTTCGTGTTCAACTTCATCACTCTTTTGGTTTTACTGAATATTCCGATTGCAATGAAGTACTCTGGTATTGCTGCTTCGGCCACCGCCTTGATGGTTGGTGTTGCTTCTGCCGCTGTCACTGGTGTCACTGGCAAACCCGAAGGCTTTGCTTCTTCCACTACAGGTGGTGGTAACGCAAAAGCTGTCTACCCTTCCACTACTGATGAGCTGGTCTCATACCTCGGTGATAAGACTGCTCGCGTCATTGTGTTGACCAAGACCTTTGATTTCACTGGTACTGAGGGAACTACTACCAGCTCAGGCTGTGCTCCTTGTGAGTTGATTTCCACAAGTGTTTTGCAGATCTGGATAGAGTGCTGACTTCGTGATACAGGGGGTACTGGTGCTGGATGCCAAACTGTAAGGCCAAGACGGTGATTCAAGAACACATAGGACTAACAGTGAATAGNNGCCATCGACAAGGACAAGTGGTGCGAGAACTACGAGTCAGATGCACCCAAGGTTTCTAGCATCACTTATGATGCTGCTGGTACTCTTGGTATCACTGTTGCTTCCGATAAATCCATCGTCGGAGATGGCTCCAAGGGTGTTATCAAGGGCAAAGGTCTACGCATTGTCAATGGTGCCAAGAATGTCGTCATTCAGAACGTGGCCATCACCGACATCAACCCTGAGTACGTTTGGGGTGGAGATGCCATTACCTTGGACGGCACAGACAATGTCTGGATTGACCACGTTACTGTAAGTTTCCACATTCGCTGTGTTCGGAAGAATGACTGACCTTTGGCTAGANCTTCGAACATTGCAAGACAGCATATTGTCTTGGGCACTGAAGCCTCCGGCAAAGTTACCATTTCGAACTCGTACATCGATGGTTCTGGCGATTACAGTGCGACATGCGATGGTCACCAATACTGGGCTCTTTACTTCGACGGCTCAGGTGACCAGGTCACTTTTAAGAACAACTACATCTACCAGACCAGCGGTCGTGCTCCTAAGGTCCAGAGCAACACTCTTCTCCACGCCGTCAACAACTATTGGAATGACAACAGCGGTCATGCCTTCGAAATCGGCAAGGGCGGTTACGTTCTCGCTGAAGGCAATGTCTTCGAAAATGTCAAGGCTCCTCTGGAGGCTTCCTCGTATGCTGGAGAGCTATTTACTGCCGACTCTGGCTCGGCTTGCAGTTCTGCACTTGGTCGTTCTTGTGAGGCAAACTCTCTCAGCGGTTCTGGCATTTTCAGCGAGAGTAACACTGGTTTCCTCAGCAAGTTCTCTGGTGCTGGTGCTGCGACTGCTAAGCCTGCCTCTGGGATCAAGTCTTATGTCACTGCCAATGCTGGCGCTGGCAAGCTTGCCCAGTAAGCGTGGTACTCAATCTTGAAGCAGACGTGACCGCCATAGATGACGTTTCTGGCCTGGTGGTTAGCTGGTGGGCAGCTGGTTTGCCTAGTATCTTACCATTCATATCTGTACTGCCTACAACACGAGTCAATTCTCATATCACCACTTGCTCATGACGACCAGACAATCAATGGAGAAAGTTGGTGTAAATGTGCATCTGAGGGGAGCGCAAGCAAGTTGTCGATGGATAGATGACGAGATGAACGTGCACGGTCAGCCTTGGCACAACGCGTGAGTGTCACCATAACGCGGTCGTTTGCATCTTTCATCTTCATCTTTGAACAATACCTATACCATCTCATCGAGACAGCTCCCTCAAATCAATTCGTGGATCTGTAGGCGGAAAATTTTGGCTATGAGTGTTTCTCCTTGCATCCCTTCGTGGCTCGTTGAGAGGATATGTATATCCGAAAGCAGGAGTCATGACGGGCCTTGGTTGACAGGCATTGCGAGATTTGACACATAATCCTTCAAGAAACCATAGCTGCAGTCTTCAACAGACCATCGTAGTATGGATAACTTCACAGCATCAGACCTATGTCCGGTGGACGACACCAAGCGCCCCATCTCGAAAATTGATTTCACTGGCAGCAATGTCTTGGTGTCTCCAGACAGCCATACGAGATGTGCTTCAGGAATATTCTGTCTGGTGCCTTGTCATCTGGTTGCGGGAGCATCTCTTGTTGAGGTACAGTATACCAGCAGATCAAGGTTGGTGGTTCCCCTCATTTCCCCGCTCCTATCAGACTGATCTACAGAACGAATGCATGAGGATGCTGTTTTTCCGTCTCTTCGGGCTGAGATATCGCGAACCATCCTTCAGGACCAGGTCGTCATAACAAGCCCTTCAGACCACGCTATGGCCCTGCTCTCCGCACCCTGTTCAAACACTCGACATGCTTGTCTCACGATTGCTTGCCGTTCTTGGGCTTGGACTTACTATTCAGGCCCAAACGTGCTGGGAAAACTTGACCTGCTCTGGCCCGCTTGAAAGTGCATTCCCAGGCGAATGGGAAGCAAACATCTTTGCGCCTGCTTCTCGCGCCGTCTCCCCAGCCTCGATCCTGTCTCTTGCGAATGCTTCAGTCATATCAATGTGGCCAGGTCCCGCTCATATTACTGGTAATGGCTCGGCACTCGTATTCGATTTCGGANAAGAGGTGGGAGGCTTGGCCACAATATCCTATACAGCAAATGGTGCTGGTGCTCTGGGTCTTGCTTTCAGTGAGGCAAAGAATTGGATTGGCTTATGGTCCGACTCGTCCAATGGGAGATTTCAAGCGGGCGACGGAGCCGTCTACTCCAACTTCAGTGCTTCAGGCAACTACAGCTACACAATGGACAAAGTCCATCTTCGCGGAGGCTTCCGCTACCTGACTCTGTTCTTGATCACCAATGATGCCATGTCCTCTATCAACATCAACGATATCACTCTCGAGATCGGCTTCCAACCCACTTGGAGCAATCTACGTGCCTACTCTGGCTACTTCCACTGTAGCGACGACGACCTGAACAAGATCTGGTATAGTGGTGCATATACCTTGCAGACCAATTCGGTGCCCGTCGACACTGGTCGCAATTTTGTCGCAAGCGGCTGGAACAATAGTGGCGCTCTTTCAAACGGCTCTGCAGTCATCGTAGATGGAGCCAAGAGAGACAGAGCAGTATGGCCCGGAGACATGGGCATCGCGGTACCAGCTACTTTCGTCAGTATTGGGGACCTAGAGAGTGTTGCGAATGCTCTGCAGACCATGTATGATCATCAGAACAAAGACGGATCTTTCCCGGAAGCTGGGCCTCCATTGTTGCAGCAAGGTTCGGACACTTATCATATGTGGAGCATGATAGGTACGTACAACTACTTGCTGTACACCAACGATACTGCCTTTCTGGATAAGAACTGGGATCGTTATCTTTATGCTATGGACTACATATACAGCAAGGTGCATCAGCCATCTGGATTGCTCAACGTGACGGGAACGCGCGATTGGGCTCGATGGCAACAAGGCTTCAACAACAGCGAAGCCAACATGATTCTATATCATACACTTGTGACAGGAGCAGAACTCGCGACTTGGCATCCAGATACAACTGGTCTTGCTGAGACTCTTACTTCTCGCGCTGCTGATCTCAGCACTGCCATTAACAAGTTTTGTTGGGACGCCTCGTATGGAGCATTCAAAGACAATGCTACAGACACACAATTACATCCTCAAGATGCCAATAGTATGGCGATCTACTTCGGTGTAGTTCCTCCTTCGTCTCCGTCTGCTCAAAGCATATCTTCCAGACTTACGGACAACTGGACTCCTATTGGTGCTGAAGCTCCAGAGCTACCAAACAACATCTCACCGTTCATCTCATCCTTCGAGATCCAGGCACATCTTGTCGCTGGCCAGAGCAAACGAGCACTAGATCTGATACGCCGCAGTTGGGGCTGGTATCTACACCATCCTAATGGGACAGGCAGTACCGTCATCGAAGGCTACCTCACAAACGGAAGCTTCGCCTACCGCAATTCGCGAGGATACAGTTACGATGCAAGTTACGTCTCGCACAGTCATGGGTGGTCAGCAGGACCCACTTCTGCCTTGACTAACTACATTGTCGGGCTATCTGTTACTGGCCGAGTAGGATCAACATGGACACTAAACCCACAATTCGCTGATCTGAAGTATGCCCAGGCAGGGTTTGTGACTTCTTTGGGCAAATTCAGCGCGGGCTGGAATGTCACTGATGGTGGTAGGACGTACTCGTTGTGGTGGAAGGTTCCTGGGGGTACTGCTGGCAATGTTACGCTGCCTCCACTACCGTCTGGCAAGACAGGCAAGATTTCCATCGATGGAAAGAGTCTTAAGAATAGGAGTGTCGACAAANAGAATGGCTTGACGTTTGAGATTGATGGTGGAGATCACAGTATAGTTGTAGTCAGCAAGTGAGAAGGTTGTTAGTAGCCTCCTATATTGCGTCTAGCTATACAGAATGCACGTGTCTATTGGGACTGGGTTGTCTCTGCTAGTAGATACTCGCTATGAGACGAAGACTTGTTGGCGGAACATGTAACCCGTGCAGTTGTCAGACAGCACGGCGACCCCAACGATGTTTGGATGATCTTGAAGCTCACCAAGCTGAAATGTACAAAATAAGACCAACGTTATTAAGCACTCGCCAAGCCCATCGATCACATCAAGAAGAGCCCAATATAGATCGAATGTATTCGTAGAATCTAACTATGTACAGCTCATATCGATTAGCTTGAAGGTTGCTGCTCAAGCATATTGTCGATGTGGAGTCAGGGTGCTGGTCTCAACATCTTAGAGCGTTGCTGAGTATCTCCGTACCGAGCGGACGTCTCCAACCCAATGGGGCAGCGTCGGCTGCTGTTGGCAACGGTAAGGCGCGTGCACATCCGATATCCTGAATTCTTCCGACCTCACGCGTCATCCTCGTAAACACCTCAGGCCCTCGACTGCCAGATCTGAGACACAGTGTCTCTCCCTGTCAACGACGATGCTCGAGCCATGAGCTATCCGGATATCCACCGACGTTTGCTTTGCTCTTGTTTCAATGCACGACCTTGTTCTGCCTGCCGAGATCCGAAAAAGGCGAACGACGAGTCTGAACACGAGAATCAATACCCGCGTGCGATATATCCGCCTGGTAATCGCCTGCGACCAGGAAGAAAGAACTTGGTGAACGACGGATGGCTATCGCCAATTTCTTGGCTTGACTTTGGATAATCATAACGGCGCAACGTCGCGAACGTCTCTACCAATCTGAGTGCAGCAGCTTTTAGCCAATCCTCACATCTTCTGATGCTCCAATCAAAAGATAAACAGTACAGTCCGCTGATTTGACCAAATGATATCCGCTGCCATATGCTGGGAGGTCCTAGGAGCACTGCAGACATCTGGCAAACCGCTCTACTCGGCATCGCAAACGGTTGAATCACCGTTGGAAGCAGGTGGATATGTCTGATCCTTCGTGTAGATCCTTCAGAGCCTATGGCTTCGACGTTCTTTCCAGACTGCTCTACGCAAGGGGCTTCATAGTAACTTTTGAGTTAACCTTTGGCTTGTGTCAGTCAATTCTTAACCGGCGCTCGTACCCCATCCTCTTTTAGCCATGACTCTTGTTTCCAAGAATACTGACGAGGCCTCGGCCACGAATATGCCAAATACTGCGAGCAAAACGGCTACTACTGCTACGCCTCATAGAGCGAAGGAAGGATATACTCCGAGTAATGCTGAGACATGGAAATCCTGCATACGAGCTCACCAATACTATATAAATGCATCTCCCTTGCCACTCTTCCATGAACCATCAGCTCGCTCCAACTTCACCACTCTCTTTAGCAGACTTGCAACTATCCTCCAGTGCTTCGGTACTAGTCATTCTTTGGACCCCAAACAACAACCACCTACCTCATTCACTCTTTGAACTAACACACTTCTACCTCTTTCGATACCCCCTACCTCTACTCTATCTCAATCTTCATCAATACTCCAAGATGCGTACTGCCTTCTCCACCATTGCAGCTGCATCCTCGCCGCTTTGGCAGGTGCTCAATCCACCAGCATTGATGTGGACGCAATCACCGTTGCTGTCCCCACCTCGGTTTTTGTTCTTCCCGTAGTCTATGTCACTGCTGAGGGTGCCCCTACTTTGACTGCCACTACCCTGGCCAGCACTGCTACCCCAAGCAGCGATCCTAGCGCTACTGCCGTCTTCGACTCTCCCGCAGACGTCACTGCTGCTATTGTCTCTGCCTCTGAGATTGCTGCATCCTCTTCCAGCGCTGCTGCAGCCTCTGCCACTGCTGTTGTAGTCAAGCGTGATGGCTCCTGTGTTCAGCAGCCTCTTGGTATTGCTCACGTGTCTGTCCCCGACACCGCTGCTGCCTTTGCTGCCGACCCCTTCTACGGTATCCAGGCCCTCGCCGCTACTCTCCCTACCGGATATGTCCAGACCTTCAGCAACCTGACTGCTTCCAACTCTGCTGACCAGTACGTCGGTTTCACTCTCATGAACTCGTACGATGTTGCTGCATGTGGTCAGCAGTGCACCAGCATGAGCGGTTGCAACTCGTTCAACATCTACTTCGAGAGAGATCCCCAGTACGATCCTTCGGTCGCTGGATGCAGCAACCCCAGCTCCACCACCAACATCAAGTAAGTGATGATTTAGTGTGCCACCTCTTGTTTGGAACTATACTGATTGTGTTCGCTTCAGGTGTGTCTTCTGGGGAGGTGCTGTCACTGCCGCCAACGCCAACAACTTCGGTCAGATGCGTGATGGATTCAACGTTGTCATTGCTGGATCCAACGGATACATTGCCGGTTCTTTCGCTGCCAAGCTTGCTGCGAAGGCTACTGCCACCGCTAGCTCATCTTCTGCTGCTGCTTCGGCCACTGACGTCGCTGGTAACATCTACACCATCTACTACTCTTCCGACAGCACTCAGGGCGCATACTCCAACGCTCAGGCCAGCAGCTCCTACACCGACTGCATGACTGCTTGCGATGCCGACTCTCAGTGCAACGCCTTCACCTACGTTGGCGGACAGAACGGTGTTGGCTCTGGTAAGCCTAAGTCTGCTCTTTGTCCAGTCCTCAATACTAATATAACTTTCAGGTACCTGCTGGCTCAAGGCTACACTCGGAAGCCCTTCCAGCTCTGGAAGCAATGTCTTGTCTGGTGTCCGCTCCGGCAAGGCTGTCTCTTCCTCCTCTAGCAGCGTTGTCTCGACCACCTCTTCCTCTTCCAGCTCGTCATCCTCGGTCTCGAAGACTTCTAGCACTGCTTCGGCAACTAGCACCTCTTCTTCCAGCAGCTCTGTTGCCTCGACCACCATGTCTTCCTCGTCGTTCAGCACTGTTGCATCAAGCAACAAGACCTCGTCTTCTTCCAGCTCTTCAGCTACTACTTTGAGCACCATCACCAAGTCTGCATCTTCGACTAGCAGCAGTGCTACCAGCACCACCGCCAGCAAGACCTCGAGCACCACTGCACCTGCCGCCACCACCAGTGCAGCTTCTTCTTCCAGCCAGGTCTGCTACCCCTGGATGCTTTGCTGGTGGTTCTAAACGGATCGCCAGCTGAGGCAGTGAGATGAGCACATCTGACAGTGTTTGAACGGGTGTCTTTGATGAAGGCGTTGGGTATCTTTTGCTTTTCAGCCAGTGTTTCTTGTCAATTAGCAAGGTGTATATAGATGGACATTTTATTCTTGTTTTCTTCTCCATTTCTTTGTTCCTTCTCGAGAGTGAATAATAGGTGGGTAGCAAGTGAGTGTGTTTGAAGATTGATTGACCCCGCCCATCAAGGTGCTTGGTGGGAGCTTTCCCCAGGATTTCAATGAAAGGCGGAGCAGTGACGTTCGACACTGTCACAGTGCTCCTCATGCAGGATTCTCTCAAAGTGCGCAATCATGACCAGCGACAGATTGTCTGACTTTCTCACCGTTTGATCTCAGCTTTCACAATTTGCTTCTCAAAGCACATCAACCATGATTGACAACACAAAGCAATCAGTCGCAAAGACAGCCATCGTTAGCGGCGGAGCACGTGGTATTGGCCGCTGCATCGTGCGCAGATTCCTTGAGCGCGGATACAAGGTCTTCATCTTCGACATTGACGAGGACGAGCTGGAACATAGCACAACTGTCCACCTGAAGCAGTACTACGACAAGAAGCAACTCAGCTCAGCCGTTTGCAACCTGCGCTCCGTCGACGAGATCCGTGAGAAGGTCAAGGAGGCTGCAGACTTTCTGAACGGTCGCATTGAAGTTGTAGTCAACAATGGAGGCATTGCTGCACCTACCTGGAAGGATGGACAGGCCATGGACAACTTTGAGACGTTTGATCAATGGCAGGCGTAAGTCTGATCGCTCTACTCTCGACTGAACAAAACACTGACCACAGGCAGCTACATCGAGACCAACCTCACTGCTCCTTTCGCCGTCTCGCAAGCCTGCCTGCCCTACATGAAGCTCGAAGACAAGAAAGACTCACATCACGCCGACGATTCTGACGCCGGTCCTTGCATCATTCACATTGGTTCCTTCCGCGCAGAGATGAGCGACCCCAACCAGGAAGGCTACGCCTCCAGCAAGTCGGGTCAAATTGGTCTTATGCACAGCATGGCCATCAGTCTGAGCCGCTGGGGTATCCGTTGCAATCTCGTCGCTCCTGGTCGCATCAAGGTCGCTCACGAATGCAAGGNNGAAGGCGATGAGAAAGGTATCGAGTGGGCTCACCAGAATGAGGACAAGGACGTAGATGACCACGCTACCAACAGAGCTGGCAGACCCAAGGACATTGCTGATGCCGTCGAGTACCTGGTCAATGCCGGCTTCGTCACTGGACAGGCCATCACCGTCGACGGTGGCGCCGTCAGAATGAAGTAAACGTGGAAAAGTTCAGCGACGAAGTTACGAATATATTCACGAATTCTTGCTGGCCCTGTTCGGCCGAGTTTGAGCCACAAGTTATGCCGTCGGACGCTCCGGAGGAGAGCTGCAGATAATGAAACGCGCTTGAGATTGCTCAACATACCGCGTCCGTTCAATCACACCTGTCAAACAAGTGTTACCGTACCTCTTCCTTCGACACCCCTTTACCTTTCTAGCATGACATCAGGAAGAACAGGCGAAGATCCCTCTTCGGCAGATTACGAGAGAGTCAATTCGATGTGCGCCGGAGGGGTAGCAGATTGTGGAGTGCGTGCGGGGGATCGACATCCCTAACTTCTTTTACCACATGTATACATCAAATCATGCTTCGCCATGCAACCCTAGTTCTTCTTGTTCTCGCTGGTCCGTATGCATTGATCTCTAACCGATGGATCGACAGCTACTTGTCGGCAGAATTTGCCTTCTTTCTCTTGCGACATCCCTACCATGCTCCATAGTACAGCAAGCGCTGTTTCATATTAGCCGACGTCTTCTTGCTATATAACTTCCCGGACATGACTTGCAGAAATCCTTTGATCAGCATCGGCTGGAAGCCTGCAGTGTTTCCAGTGTCTCTCCAGACTTTTTCTACTACTACTGATCACAGCTGAGCATCTGCAGGATCTTTCAGCATGTTGTACTCTTCTCTACTTCTGCTGGCTCTCCCATCTGGCCTTTCGGTCAGAGGAGCCATGGCCGCTCCATCCGCTACGCATGAGAAACGAAGTCTCGACACTGCTTCTATCGCANAAAAGTACTTCGGCAACGACGCACCTTGGTACCAGAATCGAGTCGCATATTTCGAATGCAGCGACTCGCAAATAACCGACGTTTTCTACTATCGCTGGAAGATCTTCAGAGCCCATCAGCGTGATTTAGGTGCGAAAGGTTACATCTCGACGGAGTTCCTGGATGATGTCAGTTGGCAGCTCGAGCCTTACGCTTCGCTGAACGACGCTACTGGCTTCCACGTCGCTGAGGGCAGATGGAATAGAGACCGTCGGTTCAAGGACGACTATCTGACTTATATGTTGACTGGTGGCGACGACCGTCATTTCACGGACTATATCCAGGATTCCGTGTATGGGGCCTATCTTGTGGATGGTGATGTTGCCAGTGCGACGAAATACTTGTCGCAGATGGAGAAGTTGTTCGATTCGTGGAAGGATCACTTTGATTCTTCGAAGGGATTGTACTGGGTAAGAATCTACTGCAGATCTTCTACAAGATGGGTAGACTAACGCAGTAACAGANTTGAGCCTCTTCTTGACGCAACCGAATACACTATATCTTCGATCGATGCTTCTGGCGGCAAGGACGGTTTCACTGGTGGAAATGCGTTCCGCCCTTCCATCAACAGCTACATGTATGCTAATGCCAAAGCTCTTGCCAAATTGGCTACTCTTGCCGGCCAGTCTAGCGTTGCCAATGACTACAATTCTCGGGCTGCAGCGATCAAGAGCAACGTTCAGAAGAGTTTGTGGAACTCAACCTTGACCCACTTCATCGACAGATACCAGGTCAGCAATGACTACGTCAAGTACTGGGAGCCAATTCGCGGACGTGAGCTTGTCGGTATTCTGCCTTGGACTTTCAATCTTCCTGACAACTCTTCGGACTATGCATCCTCGTGGAAACACCTTTTGAACCCCAACGAACTTGGCGGTCCCAAAGGCCTGCGTACCGTTGAACCTAGCTACCAGTACTACATGAAGCAGTATCGCTACGATGCAGCAACAGGTCGGCGCGAATGCCAGTGGAACGGGCCAGTCTGGCCTTTCCAGACTACACAGGCGCTTTTAGCCATGTCAAACCTGCTTGATCATTATCAACAGAACGTGGCTACCAACTCTGATTACATCAGGTTGCTTAGACAGTATACACAGCTGCACTACAACGGTGCAACACTCAACCTACAGGAAGACTATGACCCGGATAAAGGTGGTGCAATTGTTGGCCTGCCCAGATCGCCTCATTACTTCCATTCTGGCTACATCGATCTGATCATGACTGGTCTGGTTGGCATCCGACCTCGTGCGGACGACTTCTTGGAGATCAACCCTTTGATTACAAGTGACATCAAGTACTTCCGTGCTGAAGAAGTACCCTACCACGGCACCAATATTGCTGTTCAATGGGATGCTGATGGCAGTCGCTATGGTCAAGGGGCTGGTCTTCGCGTCGAGAGGGATGGTGCAGTCATCGCTACCTCTTCAACCCTCAAGCGTCTGGTCATCCCTTTCCAGAAGAAAGCCGTCACAAGCATTTCGCGGCCAATCGCAAAGAGCATCCAACTCCAAAGCAACATCAGCTATCCTCATGGCAACGCTTCTTCTGGCACTAATGTCGACAATGTTCACGATGCTATCGACGGTCGTGTTTGGTTCTTCCCCGAGCTACCCAACGGCTGGAACTCGGACGTGAATTCTGCAACCAACCAGTGGTACACTGTTACCTTTGCGTCTGCGACTCAGATCTCAAGAGCCGAGATTGCCTTCTTTGACAACGGAAATGACTTCAAGGCTCCCACGGCGTACTCCATACAGGTGCTGAGCAACGGCAAATGGGTCGACATTGGTGGATTGAAGAAGAGCGCTGTCGTGGCGAATGGTATTACGAACGTACAGTTCACTTCGACCAGTGTTACACAAGTTAGACTTAGCATGACACAAGCTTCTGGTGCAAGAACCAGACTGGTGGAAGTGAAGTACTTCTAGGCAATTGAGATGGAGAGGAAGTACATAAGATAATTTGTTGTTCAAATGTCGAAGTTGAAGTATTGAAACAGTCGTCTATCATGAACATTTACTCCTGAATCACTGGTCGTGCGTGAATTGTAGATGCAACCATGGCACAAAAGTGGAAGGTGTGATCATCTGAGCAGAGTCAAAGCTCGGACGATATCCGGAGCCGACGATCTGCCAGTGACAAGCGTCAGAAGATCCTGCTTACCTAAGACTCCAGCCCAGCCACTGCGTTATGTTTCATCGTGTTTTTGTCTCACCTCTTGCATCTGTCGTGTTTGCTTGCTATCAAGTGCTGAAATCTTGTATACCACAATACCTCATAAAATCCCACACTTTCAAAAGTTTGCTTGATCTCTCACGGCCGTAATGCAAGCTGCAATCTGTATACGAGGCACAGAGAGGGGTCGCCAAGGCACAATCGCCGAATGAGGAAGTTGGGAGATCTTCGCACCCGAGTGTTGATTTCCTTATCAAAATATGGAAGGTGAAATCCCAATCCCAATTGCCCGGATTGATGGGCTCGGAGTCAAGAGTGCAATTTCTATAAGTTCAAAAGCCGGATGCACGCTTTCTGATTCTTCCACTTTCACCCTCGTATTCATCGATTGTCCCTCACCGCCATCATGAAGAGCGTGTGGGCATATTTTTCTGCATTTTTACTTGGCAGTGTGCCAATTGCGCAGGCATACACCACTGACCATCCAGCATGGCAGGGCAAAGGTTCACGACTGAACAAATGGCGATCCACTCACGTAGCCGATGACAATGAGCATGCGCTATCATCCATTATGGCCTCTTCCCATACAGGCAACGCCACATTTAGACAGTACATCGATCACAACAACAAGGATCTTGGTACCTTCGAGCAGTTCTACTTTTACTCGACTGAATTCTATGGCGGTCCTGGCTCTCCAGTCATCTTGTTCACTCCAGGCGAGACTAACGCTAGCGCGTGAGTGGATTCTCCCTTGCATTGTTATGTCTGTTGGTCACTGACTGTCATCGATAGTTATACGAGCTACTTGACTCTCAACCGGACCACTGGTGTCCTTGCTCAGGAGATCGGTGCTGCAATAGTTTGTATGTCAATCTGATGACTTGATTCGTCAAGTCCACAACCCGCTAATCAGAAACCTCCAGGCATTGAACACAGATACTGGGGCTACAGCTCGCCATATGCTGATCTGACGACTGAGAACCTGCAATACCTGACCCTCGACAATTCGATCGTGAGTGCTTGTCCTGACCATACTGTGCCCACCACATTTCACGTTACTGACGATCTCGACAGANGCGACCTGACAAACTTCGCCAAACATGTGCGACTTCCCTTCGATTACCACAGAAAGTCAGCACCGAACCGTGCCCCCTGGGTAATGATGGGTGGATCATATTCAGGAGCACTGGCCGCCTGGACTGCTTCAACCCAGCCAGGCACTTACTGGACATACTGGGCTTCTAGTGCGCCCGTTCAATCGATTCTCGACTACTGGCAATACTTTGTGCCTATCCAGCAAGNNGGAATGCCCAAGAACTGCTCGTCTGATGTGTCCCTCGTAATCGACCACATTGACTCCGTTCTGCTCAATGGTACAGCTTCAGAAATTCACTCGCTCAAACAATCATTCGGTCTTGAGGACCTGGAACACAATGACGACTTTGCCGCCGCACTGCAGAATGGTCCCTGGCTTTGGCAAGGTAATCAGTTCTATACCAACACCGGATTTTTCGAGTTCTGTGACGCCGTTGAGAACGTCAAACCTAACAGTACCAACACCACTCTACCTGGCGCCGGAGGCGTTGGCTTAGAAAAGGCTCTTGCCGGTTATGCGGACTGGTTCAACACGACTTACTTGCCAGGCAGTTGTGAGGCCTATGGCTATGACGAGTGGCAAGGCGAACGCAACATCAAGTGCTACGACACCTACGATACATCAAGCCCCATGTACACAGACGTTTCTTTGAGTAATGCCTTCGACCGGCAATGGATATGGATGACCTGCAACGAGCCCTTCGGCTACTATCAGACCGGGAGCCCCGAAGGTCGTCCTTCAATTGTGTCTCGTCTGAGCAATGCCGACTACTGGATTCGTCAATGCGCTTTGATGTTCCCTCCATCCAACTCATCAGTCGTTGGCCTTGACAGAGGCGCCACAACAGCACAGGTCAATGCAAAGAACAAGGGCTGGAACAATTACTCACCTGGCCTCTTGTACGTCAACGGAGACTATGACCCTTGGCGTGAGGCCAGTGTATCTTCGGACTTCAGACCTGAAGGCAAGTTGGCAAATTCTACACGCAACCCAGTCGTAATTGTACCTGGAGGCTTCCACACCAGCGATCTGGTGACGCGAAACGGAAAGGTCAATGCTGGAGCCAAGGCTGCCATCGATCAAGCTGTTGGCATCATGAAGGAGTGGGTTGGCGAGTTCAGCCACGGCAAGCACTGGTTCGCAGGATGATTGATGAGATGAGTGTCCGTTCTTTTCGAATGGTTTGTTCATCAAACGAGGTACCATCGCTTTCATTCTATAGAGTGACGACAACCACTACCCATAAATACACTCTTGTTGCATGTCTCAGCAAAAAAGCCCATGACTATGCTGTGATTACCAGTGTGATCCTAGATTGTTTCTATATTCGACAATCGTCTGCAGGTCAACAAACGTTTCTGGGAATCCACCACTACATGCAAATGAGTTATTTCACGCCATATTCAGAGTCACCAGTTTGATGAAGACGGCCAGGTTAGTGCCAGACTGAGTATATCATAGGCTCTCACGGCTCTTTATGATGATGGATGCACAGGTTACATGAACACTCACAACTGATATAGTCCTGTGGAGATGCAAGAACTTCTCCAGAAGTTGTTGTAGTCCATCAAGAGTTACAACTCCTGTGCCATTTTCTTGTCTCTCTCTCTCTCCGGTTAGCTGTGGTCTGGTAACATATTTGTGCATTATAATAGCTGCTTTCTATGCAACGGGTGCCTAGGAGATGCGAAAGTTGTATTGCCATCATGAGTACCATGTATAAACATTACTGTGTGCCACTGCTTCCTGTGTGTGGCTGCTTACAAGATCAAAAGGGAAACGCATTTACTAATGCTATGCAAGTGACAACCAAGAGCTCGACATTATCGTTACCATCACTTTCTCTCTGTCCCGTTCCATCGTTGAATATATCAATTGGGGTCAATTCTCCTGAAGAGGGACACGAGTAGTAAACAGTTCCGTAATATAATAGAAGCAAAAGTAATTGCGGCGAGTGAGATTCGAACCCACGATCTCTGCATCGTCATGTTGCCAAATCACAGACTAGTGTAGAACACTGAAAGGGGCGACTCTGTCGAGCTTGTGTTTGCAAGACACATCGATGCAGCGTCTTGACCGCTAGACCACCGCCGCTATTTTGTTGATGAGAATTGGCATTGAGTAGAATATATGTGTTTAGGGAAGTGAAGGAGAAGCTTGTGATGGCAAGGTACCTATGTGACAGGCAGACATGTGACAAATTCCACATGGCAAGTGCCAAGCAAGTGGACCGACTCACGCTTTGGGAAGGTGAAGTCTGAAAGAGCATAATGGAGATCTCGATTCTGTATAGATACATCTTATGCAAAGAGAAGTTGTTCGTCTCTGCCGCTCATGTGCTGCTCCATGGGTTGTGGCTAAAGGCTTGCTCAGAGAAAGCACGCAATATTACCGACAGACAGAGCATATTTCATTACTCTTGTCGCCTTGGTCCCTGTTCGAGGCACTTCTCATTGAAAGTGCTCGGAGCTATAATCCAATGACTGCTCTCCGTTACGGCGACGTGAGGGGACGAAAGGAATCAATCAAATATCCGAACTTCGGAGCGATGGGCCATTGCAAGAGGAGAAAGTTTGACGAATAAGGCTTGTGTTGCTCGATCACATTAGTGATGAACATTGTTGAGGATGAGCAATACATCGTCTACTATGGCGCCATCCAGGCTTGGTATGGGTAAACACGCTTAAACCGTGGGCAGTGGGCGCAGATCTCATTGGACCCCACCATTAGATATCTCGAGATTGATAGAGTACATTCAAGGCGACTTTTAATTGCTTGTCGAACTTTTCTTTCTATCTTTCTTGATTTTGTTGTATACCACGTTTTTGTTACAAGAATATTTGCCGCTACATACGCTTGCGCTACTAAGATGCCGCAGACCGAGACTGCCATCGACTCTCCGAGGATCAAGACTCGCAGAGCAGACTCACCATTGGAGAATGAACTGCCATTGCAGCAGAACGTAGCGCTTTTGCAAGCAGCTCGCGAACGCCTCGTTCTGACGCAATCATACCCCGTCCCTTATACGACAAAGGGCGATGAATTAGTAGTGGAGATCAGAGCGATTGGACTAAACCCAGTGGACTGGAAATCTATGTACGCATCTCTCGGAGCGGCGCGTCGGACCTGGCTGATGCAAATTTAGTNNGATTACAACTTCGCCATCCCTGAGTTGCCATACGTTGCAGGCCGTGACTTTGCTGGAACTGTTGTAAAAGCACCCGATGTTCCCAGTCGCCTTCAAGTCGGTGACCTGGTAAGATTAGATGTTTTCACTCCAATCGACAAAAAGCTGACATCTACACCAGNNGTCCTCTGTCCATCAACAGATTATCGAGACATCAGGAAGTCGGCGTTTCAAGAGTACGCAATTTCAACACACCACAATGTGGCCAGAATACCGAGAAATATGCCAGCCACACAAGCCGCGTCAGTCGGTGTGGCATATGTGGCTGCAGCGCTCGCCCTTGGTGTGAGTCTCGGGTTGAAGCTGTACGGTCTGCCTGATCAAGATGAACTCGATCTCTGGCAAGCAGTCCGTCAAGTCCCTGTTAACGCGATACCTGCAGACATTCTGGCAGAGTGTTTGTCGGGGATCGATAACGCAGAACGCCCTCAGCCCGATGACTGGATTGCCATATACGGTGGCTCGTCAACAAGCGCGCTCTTCATCTCCGAGATCTCAAGGCTGGCAGGTCTCAGAGTCATCCTCCTCGCCGATGGTGTGAAGCATGGTGGACGACTCAGTGAACGGCAAGGAAGCATTCTTGTTGACAGCCACGAACCCGCTAGAGCGATCAAGATCGTACAGTCAATTACGAAGGGAAAGCTTAGATTTGCAGTCGATACAGTCGGCAAAGAGACGGCAGGACACTTGGTACAGATGTTGCAGGCAGACACGCAAGAAGGCAAGAGAGCTCATCTGGTAGGACTTACCGGAGTACCGCAGGACAAGATCGAGGGCGTGGTGTTCCATTCGGTACCGATCAAGCTGTTCCACGAAGTGCCATCGATTGGTATTGCTTTGATGAACTGGCTGGAGAGAGCTCTAGAAACCGAAGCGCTTGCACTTCCAGAGGTTGAACATGCGGATGGAGGGTTGAGCGGTATCAACGCTGCACTAGACAGGATGCGACGCGGCGAGATCTCTGGTCGTCGACTGGTGATATCCGTATAGAAAGTTTGATCAGGTTGGTGTGATTGTGAGCTTGGACAATTGGAAACCTGAAGGAAGGAGGTGTGGTTAGCCAAGCAAACTAGACAAACACGGGAAAGATGAGCGCCATCCATTCATGACGCGACAACCTCCTTCCTGATCACTACTTCCCTTGAAGAACAATCATATTCAGGAATCAAAACAGTCTCATGATAACTCAACAAACTCCATGCATTGCTGATCCGACAATTTCACCCGTCGAAGATAACCTCAAAACGCGCGTTGCCTCGCGATTGGTGCCGGTCGCAATCCACTGAAGCTTTCCATTCGACCCCCACCATGTAGACAATATTGCGAGCTCGCACGCCATACGACAGGCTGCGGACGAAAGCTATCTCGAGATTGCACGCCATCTTCGTGCTGCCCCACAGCCTCAACGATAGTATGAACTGCCTGAACGCCAATCTCTTCATACTGGTAATCCGCATGTGTTGCAAATGTATATTATCTCTCGTGCACCTCCTCGCTTCTTCTAAGCAAAGTAGACGACAATGTCGGCCATCACCGTTCTACAAGCCAACGGGACTGAAGTCAATCATAAGACATTGGCTGGAAAGACACCAACCTTGATCGAGTTGAACACTTCCCAGGATGATTGGGTATATCCTTATCCAACCAATTTCAAGATACATGAGCATCCCCTTGACGAGATCCGCGAGCTCAAGGTGGCTGTCATTGGTGCCGGTCTTGCGGGCATAATTGCAGGTGCACTGTTACCTGCAAAGGTTCCAGGTATCAAATTAACCATTCTTGAAAAGAATGCGGACTTAGTAAGTCAGCTGCTGACATGGCACACTATCTGAACTGACCTTGATATGAAGGGAGGAACATGGTACGAGAATACTTACCCAGGAGTTCGCTGCGACATTCCTGCCCATGTCTACCAGGCGACCTTCTCTCCGAACACTGAGTGGACTGAGGAGTATGCTCAAGGCTCGGAGATCCGCAACTACTGGCAGAATGTGGCCAAAAAGCACGACGTGTACTCGAAGGTCAAGCTACAGACCAAGGTCCTGGGCGCTTATTGGGAACCAGAACGTTCACAGTGGAGGGTTGAAACAAAAGACCTCAAGAGTAATGAGGAAAAGGTGGAACACTTCGATTTCTTGATTCCTGCGATCGGCCACTTCAACGAATGGAGATTGCCAGATATCCCGGGCATCGATGATTTTCAAGGTCACCTCAGGCATTCATCCAACTGGGATCCCAATTTCGACCCAAGAGGCAAGCGCATAGCCACTATTGGTAACGGAGCATCAGGCATTCAAATCACTCCAGAACTGCAAAAAGTCGCTAGTCATATTGATCACTATGCTAGGAGTCGAACTTGGATCGCTGGTTCCTTTAACCCTAATGCCAAAGACAGACAATCTACACCCATGTATATTCCGCATGAGCAGCTTGAGTCGTTTTCAGACCCCAAAGTCTACCTTGAGTATCGCAAGAAGCTAGAAGGGTCGTTCTGGAGAAACTTCGATGCCCAGCTCAGAGACTCTGAGACCAGCAAAACCTCCGCCCAGAACTTCAAAGAGTTGATGCGCNAAAGATTGGCAGATAAATCTGAGCTACTTGAACAGATATTGCCCGACTTCCCTCCGCACTGTCGTCGACTCACGCCAGGCCCTGGATATCTGGAGGCCTTGACAGAAGATAACCTTGCCTTCATCCAGACTCCCATCTCACATTTCACGAAAGACGGGGTTGTGACCATAGATGGAACACATCGCCCTGTCGATGCGATTATCTGTTCGACAGGTGCAAATGTTGACTTTGCGCCTCCTTTTCCAATCGTCGCTGGTGAATATGATCTGTCCCGCGATTGGCGACCAGAAGGAAAGTTCGGATTCCCGTACACCTACATGGGCGTTGCAACACCTGGCCTTCCTAATCTATTGCAGCTACATGGTATGTGCTCATCTTGGACAGGATAAAAACTCATGCTGATCTCTCCTCAGNGTCCCAATGGCTACGGATCTTCGGGCACAGTCCCCCACTCGGTTGAGACGCAAGCAACGTACATTGCTAAAGTCTTGCGCAAAGTCAGCAGTCAAGGCATTGCGAGTATTGTTCCTAAGAAAGATGCCGCTGATGCTTTTGTGGAATACTGTGATGCTTTCTTCCCTCGGACCAATTTATCCAGGAAGTGCAGCAGCTGGGCGAACGGCCGTCGTCCCGGTGGTAGGATTCATGGGCTATGGCCAGGAAGTGCTGCGCATCTGACCAACGTCAGGAGAGAACCACGCTGGGAAGACTATGAGTACACCTATCTCAACCCGGACAACATATTCGCCTACTGGGGCAACGGTGTGACCAAGAAGGAGTTTGATCCGGAGAGCGACATGACATCTTATCTGAGACTGCCTGAGGAGCTTGACTTGAGAGACTTGCATGAGCGCTGGTGGGACTTGTGATGCGAACAATCCCGAATAGAAGTTCACTGCAAGATGGTTTACCAAATTGCTGCACACGCTCTCTTCCAGAGCTGGCTCTGATGCCTATCAGTCTACCTTTCTCAACCCATGTCAAGTAGCTAGTCAAGTAGACACGTGTGTTTCGATATGGGCTCAAATGTCTGTCAACCAGAACGGGAATATAACTTGAAGGGCCAAGACATTCACTGCTCAAATCTAGCGACATGCATCTCTCTTGGCTCACCCATCTATCGACAGCTGCGCCTCCTGCTGGAGAGAAGGATGCTTACTTCCTTCCGTCCACGGTAATCGAGGGTTCTGTCCAACCGACACGAGCACGCCATCTTCTCCAAATGCACGTGCTATTGCACCACCAAGATATAAAGAACAAGCTTTTGAGGTTCCTTCTCATGCAGAGATCGACCTCAACGACTAATGCTCATCGCGTATGTAATCCCCGCATGGTATTGCGCTATGTTTGGGAAGGTTGCGTGATTGAGGGGTTGCCGTGAGCAATCTTGTTTACAATTTCATCAAGGTGGTTGACACAATCCAGGCTTCGAAATGTTCAAATATATGGCAAGACCCCTAGTGCTGTCTGGAAATTTACAACTTTTTGCTCTCGCAAACAGATACATCCAGATACAAACAATGAGTCAAGCAACCACGAACGGTAGCGCTCCGAAAAAGCAGCTCATTCTGAATGCTTTTGTAGAGTCATGTGGGTCGGTCCTGCCGTTTCAAAAGGACTTTCTGACAGCGTTCAGGCNNAGCGGGCATCAATCTCCTGGCCTGTGGCGGCATCCAGACGACCAGTCTACGGGCTTCAATAAGATTCAACATTGGGTCAAGCTCGCTCGACTGCTTGAGAAGGGCAAATTTCATGGCATCTTTATCGCAGATGTTCTGGTTAGTGCATCAACTTGATTGAGCCGAATGGCCATTGGCTAATGTGTACGACCATCACAGGGAGCTTATGATGTCTATAAGGGACCTAAGAATCCTGATCCGGCGATCATCTCTGGTGCCCAATGGCCTGTCAACGAACCTCTAGCAACCGTTCCAGCAATGGCAGCTGCTACAGAAAATATTGGCTTTGGTGTCACAGTCGCAACGACCTACGAGCAGGCAAGTGACGTCCAACATTTGTTCATCTTGATGACCTGAGAACTTGACTAACACTGCGTAGNNCCCTATCATCTTGCCAGACGTTTGAGCACAGTTGACCACTTATCTGGTGGTCGCGTCGGATGGAATGTGAGTCTTGATGTTTCACCTCCAGACCACTAGAGACTAACAAAACCACGATAGGTTGTAACCGGATATCTTGATTCAGCAGCAAGGAATCTTGGTCGCACAGAGCAGCCCGAGCACGATGACCGCTATGCCATGGCTGAAGAGTACATCGAAGTCATGTATAAGCTATGGCAATCATCCTGGAGAGACGATGCTGTCAAGCTGGATCGCGAAAAGATCATCTACACTGACCCAGCTCTGGTCAGGACGATTGACCACGTTGGCAAATATTACAATGTCCCTGGACCTCACATCTGCCAGCCTTCTCCTCAAAGGACACCGGTCATACTTCAGGCGGGCACCTCCAAAGCTGGTAAAGAGTTTGGAGCGAAGAACGCAGAAGCTATCTTTGTCGCCGGCCACAACCCATCTGTCGTCGCGAAAAACATCTCTGAGATTCGAGCTTTGGCAAAGGAGAAATTCGGTCGCGATCCCAAGAGCATCAAATTTCTCGCCTTACTCTGCCCCATTATTGGCAAAACTCAAGAGGAAGCAGAGGCAAAGTACAAAGAGTACCTTAGCTATGGTTCTGAAGACGGTGCTTCTGCTCTTTTCGGAGGCTGGACTGGCATCGATCTTGCACAATATGGCGATGATGAAGAGCTTCGCCACGTACAGTCCAATGCTGTCAGGTCAGCTGTGGAGGGATGGTCAAAGGCAACACCAGGTGTTGCCAAGTGGACGAAACATACTGTCGCTGACCACATTAAGGTCGGTGGTCTAGGAGCGACTGTAGTCGGCACTCCAGAATTTGTCGCGGATGAACTAGAACGATGGGTTCGCGAAGCAGACGTTGATGGCTTCAACATTGCGTACCATGTGTACCCAAGGACTTTTGAGGAGGTGATTGAGCACTTACTTCCTGTCCTCCGGGAGCGAGGGTTATTCTGGGAAGACTATGCTGTACCTGGTGGCACCTATAGAGAGAATTTGTACGGCAAGGAAGGATTGGCTCGTCCGCCTCAGGACCACCCGGCAGCAGCTTTCCACTGGAGAGCAGATTGACTGGTAGGATTATCTTGTTATACACAAAACGATGTTTTACGCAATTGAGATGCACATTCGTTATTTGAATCAGAAGTCAGGCGATGATCACACTCGCATACTGTATCTTCGTAAACATTGCTTCTGTGTAACATCTCTATGGTCATTGAGTGATGTTTGTCCGGGCGAGAAGACGTTGTTCATGTCCGGCACTTACGATCGACTAGGACACCGCACATGCCATTTCTGTAATTAGGTTGTACCTTTCATGGTGAATGGCTTGCAGGGACTACTCCACACTGCCTAATATGCCGTATAACGCCATCGTCTCGAGATATCGCATCACCCCAAGGACGAATGGTAATGCTTAGTTTACAAGATAAGCAAGTCAATGTTGCTTATGATACCTTGCCCATCTCCACGTGTCCGAGCCGAGATAGGTTTTGTTGAAAGTTTTGCATGTGCACATGTCAAGGTTTATCACGTATCTACCGCGTTGAGGATGATCACATCGCAGTCTTTCGCACGTCAATCACGGTACTACACGCATTCATTCAGGGTCAAATAAGGAGCATACATAATATGTAGATGTTCTCACGCCGTACTCAGAAACTTGATAGCTTAGACAACATACATTCGCAATGGCCGAAGTTCTCCTTAACCAAGCCCATGGCTATGGCATCATCATTGGTTTATCCATTCTGTTCTGTCTAATCATTTTGGCCGCTGTTCGGGTGCAGAAGCGATATCTGTCCGAAGATAGCGAGCAATCCGAGATGTTCATGGTGGCCAATCGTTCCGTTGGAACAGGCTTGACGGCATCTGCTGTCTTTTCGAGTTGGTAAGTCATAGAATCCCGACCGTCCAGCAGAAAATCGATGCTAAATCAAAGTGCAGGANTGTGGATCAACGAGAGTGTGATTTGCGCTGCCTATACTTACAAGTGGGGAGTCGCGTTGCCAGTCTGGTGGGCATCTGGTCTATCATTCCAGATTGCTTTAATGGCTGTACTTGGTATCGTTGCCAAACTTCGTGTCCCTTACGCACATACTTCGCTCGAGTTCATGCGGATGCGATATGGCAAGTATGCACACTGGATCTTCATTCTTCTCAATCTTGTCAACAACATTTTCGGATGTGGGAGCATGATCTTGGCTGGTGCTCAGTTGGTCACTGGCATTACAGGCATGCATGTCGTCGCTGCTTGCATTCTGATACCTGCTGGTGGTAAGTAGACTTACCAACGATGTTATGACTAAGATACTAATTAGCAGCCAGTCGTCATCTACACCGCTGTTGGCGGTCTCAAAGCAACATTCATCACTGACTACCTCCACACTGCAATTGCTTTGATTCTCTTGATTTATTTCTCTTTGTCTGTTCTGACCAACGAGCATATCGGAGGTATCTCCGGTCTGTATCACAAGGTCAAAGCTACAGATGATTACATCCAAGGAAACTACAAGGGTTCTTTGTTGACAATGAAGTCCAAACCAGGTATGTGATTTCATCTCCTTCCTTCTTCCAATACTCACTGACATGGCCTAGCTGTACTTTTTGGGCTTGTCCTCAAACTTGGAAACCTAGCTTTGGTCCTCATGGATACAGCTTTCTGGCAAAAGAGTTTTGCTTCAGAGGTTGAGTCAGTCGTTCCTGCCTACGATCTGGTTTCTGTCGTCATTCTTGCAGTCCCTTGGTGCACGGGAACCATCATTGGACTTTCCGGAAGAGCTATCGAGAAGACGCCGATCTGGTTCGACTACCCCAATCTTTTGACAGAGACACAAGTCGATAGTGGGCTGGTCATGCCATATGTCCTTCGCTCTCTGCTCGGCAAAGGCGCAACGACTGGTCTTTTGGTACTGATTTTCATGGCCATCACGTCTACAGTCTCATCATCCGTGATCGCCGTCTCGAGTATCATATCGCAGGACTTCTACCGTTCATACATCAACCCAAAAGCTTCTGATCGCAAGATTCTCAAGGTCAGCCATCTTGGTGTCGTTGGTCATGGATGTTTTATGGCAGGCTTTGCAATCATGCTGCAGTATGCCGGTGCCACAAACAATTGGTCGACATACTTTAGGCCCATTGTCGCTTGTCCTGGTATCTTCCCTCTCATGTTAACGCTACTCTGGTCGCGTCAGACAAAAGCAGCTGCTATCTTGTCTCCCATCCTGGGACTTGCATCAGGTGTCGCAACATGGTTGAGTCTGTCGTATGTCTGGGGAGGCAAGATCGATATACAAACTACTCAAGAACAACTTCCTGGTCTCTATGGTGCACTAGTGTCATTCTTCTCGCCAGCACTATTCTCGATAATTATCTCTCTGGTACGACCCAGCAAATTCGACTGGAGAGTGTTCCTGAAGATCGATCTCATCGAAGACAGCAGTCAGCCCAGCACTTCTCTGCCTTCACCTCAAGACAGTAAAGCAGACATCAACAAGATCAGTCCAATCCCTAGACCCACGCAACAACCTTCCGACGAAAAAAACCAAATCGCTATCGATGCAGAAGCAAAGACTGGACTCGTTAGCCCTGCCACGTCAATCTCTACAGCCACTGGCAGTCTTGACGACATCTCCCATCCTTTCAGCGAGCAAACCATCCGTCATATCAAGAAATGGAGAACCTATGCGTCTGGATATTTTGTTGTCAACTTACTTGTCACGGTTGTGCTGTGGCCCATACCTATGTATCGAGACTATATCTTCACAGTACCTTTCTTCAAAGGTTGGATCACTGTGGCGATTATCTGGCACTTCGCTGCCATGATGGCCGTCATTGTGTATCCGATATGGGATGGCAGGTTTGTCATCAGTACGGTTTTGCAAGGAGTAAGAAAGGAGTGGAGAAAGAGGTAGAGAACAAATTCGAGCTTCTGTTGTAAAGAGAGATTCTATATAGAGTAGAGGATGATACTATCTCCCTGTGAGCTAGAAGCTGACATAGAAGCTATAGAAATACACAGTACTTCCCATAAATGAAGTGCATCCCGCAGAGAGAACCTTACCTTGTACTGTCTCATTGGCTAAACTCGTATTCAGAAAGCAACTGTGCATCTTAACAGTTTATCATACCTTGATTTTAAGAGATCGCATCGTCGAACCACAAAGAAACAAGCATTTTCAACCAATCGTTCGTCACGTACAACAAAGTTAAGTATCGGAAAGTCAAGATATGTTAAACAATAATCGTATGTAGAAATTACAGAGTACTAGTATACAAAGTTGAAAGAAAAGAAATACGAAATATGTTCTCAAACGAGAGTGAAGAGGGAAGTTTCATCATCCCAAGCAATAGAAATCAAAAACGCCAGTCATCATGTATTGTTGATCATTTCCTTACTTGCGAGTAACAGTGGCAAGAGTGGTGGCAGCACGCCCACCAAGGCCAAGAGGCAACGATGCCTTTGCAGTGGCACCGAGGAGTCCGCTCGAGCCAAGAAGACCAGCGTTGACAGTGACACCGCCCAGGGGACCGAGACCAACGGTTGCGCACACATCGACGAGCGAACCAGTACCGCAGGAGGTGGAAAAGAGGTGACCGGCTTACCGTCAATTGTAGTGAGCACGGCAGGGCTTGTGACAGCAGGGGCAGCAGTGGTTCCAGAGGCTCCTACGGAGGCAGCAGCACTAAGACTAGCAAGCCCTCCGCTGGTAGGAAGTACGCCGGCATTAAGAGCGATGGTTCCTAGGTTGCCAAGGCCCACAGTAGCACAGGCGTTGAGGGCAGCGCCACTGCACGAGGCAGAGACGGCAGTGATGGTGTTGCCATTGATGACTGTGCTGGTGGGTACCACCTGACCATTAGTGAGGGAAGGCAGGAGAGTACCGCCAGCGCCTGCACTGATGAGAGGGCCGGAGGATCCAGTTGGAAGGACGCCAGCATTAACGCTGACTGTTCCGAGATTGCCCAAGCCCAAAGTGACACAGGCATCAACTAAGTTTCCAGAGCACGATGCAGAGAGAGCAGTGATGGTGTTGCCATCAGTCACAAAGCTGGTGGGCAAAACGGCACCGTTCGTCAACGATGGGAGCAGAGTGGCGCTGACACCCGCGCTAACAAGTGCACTGGATCCGAGAGCACCTGCGCCGAGTGTGATGGTTCCGAGGGGGCCAAGTCCAAGCGATACGCATGCATCTACGACACCACCAACACCACAAGACGTAGAGATAGCCGTGACTGTGTTTCCGTCAATAACTGTGTTGGTAGGGATGACTGCAGGGGCGGTGATTGTAGGGAGACCAGCGCTAATACCAGCAACATTGCTAGCACCGATCAAACCCAGTGTTAAGGTTGCAGAGGGCCGACTCGAGACTGAGACAGACGAGGCTATCGCAAGTAGTGGAGATCGCGGTGATCTCAGCTCCAGCGACGGTGGTAGGGGTTGGCAACACACCCGCACTAACTCCGATCAAGCCATCTGAACCATCAGTAGGAATGGCACCTAGAGTCAAAGTTGCTAGGGGACCAAGGCCAAGTGTGGCACAGACTGCATCATTGCAAGAGGTCGAAATTCCTGTGATATCGGGGAACGAGATGGACGCGCCAGCAGAAACGGAAGGAACAGAGGTGATTACAGGGTCCGAGCCGCCGCCAATGCCAGCTCCAAGATCGAGAATGGTGCCGTCAGTTTGAAGCGCTCCAAGGGTTGCTGTGGTGGACGGACCCAGGCCTACAGCCAGGCAGACAAGTCCACTGCATTTAGTCGAAGTCGAGGTGAACTGTCCAGGAACGCCAGAGTATCTCGTGGGGTAGCTCCTGCAGAACCACCAATTCCAAGGTTGACTGGAATACCATCGAAGAGGCCAATGGTAGCACAGAGGTCAACCAAGGCGCCTCCACAGCTAGTTGTGATTGCAGAAGCAGTTGCACCAGGAGGGAGAGTAATGGGGCCGGTGACAGATCCCAAACCGCTTGTGATCGAGGCTATCTCGCTAGATGCGCCTGAAAGAATCGATGAAACAGAGCCGGTAGCCTCGCTCAGAACAGAGGAGATGATGCTCGAAGGGACAGATGCGCCACCACTGGTGAGAGAATTGATGATGCTAGAGGCATCCGACAATACGGATGAGGCAGCGCTGGTAGCAACAGAACCGACTTGGCTAGTGAGCGATGCGACTCCCGTGGGAAGGACAACGCTGGAGAGTACTGGAGGAGAAGGTCTCACACCTGAGGATCCAGCGTTGAGAGCAGATGAGATCAGACCACCGGGCAAAGAGGTTGCGGTAGGCAACTCAGAGAGCAAAGAGCTCAAAGCACCTGTATTGATGGCACTGGCAGTGGAAAGTTGCGAGATCAAGGAAGAAATCTCGCTACCGAGAGGACCGGTGGCAGTCGAGGCTTCGGAAGCAAGGCTCGACAACACACCACTGGGAACACCAGCTGAGACACCAGCCGATCCAGTTGCACCAACAGAAACAGGAGGCAGAATCGAAGAGGCTGCAGATGAGCGCAAAGCGAACTGAACACCGTTGCGGGTAACACCATTAGTCAAGGAACTGTAGAAAGTGCAAGCACCGGTCGAAGGGGTTGTATTGGGTTCCAAGACAGCGAGCATTGGGTGCACAAATGGAAGCACAGGTGTTGAGAGAACCTGCAGCTTGTCTCTTGGCGACTGCATTGCCGATAGTCATAACATTACCACCATAGAACTCGTTACAGTAACGAGTGAATTGGGAGCCAAGCACAGAGTATGTCGACTTGCTGCTGAATGGACAAGCAATCGGAGTAGATGATGCTCCAGAAGAAGCGCGGGTGTTTGTGGCTGGCGAAGCAATACCTCCTCCATTGTTCGCGGCGGACGAGATGGCGCTCACAAGCGAGCTGACTTCGCCAGTAGGGAGCGATGCAGATGGGTTGGCCAAAATCGAGGACAACACAGAGGACAAAGAGGGTCCGATGGATGCGCCAGGGTTGGTCAAGGAGCCAATTGCAGATCCCAAGCCAGGGGCACCAGTGACAGCGGGTTCAGACAGCAAAGAGGAAAGAGCAGGGCCTGGGAAGCCTCCAACAGAGCCGCCAACGTTGGCTCCAACTCCAGCTCCACCAGTGATGCCAGGAAGATCGGCGCCCACAGACGATGCAGCACCAGCCAAAGATGAAGCGACATTGGCTGGGATTGTTGCGGCGGGGTTAGCAGCAATCGAGCTCAAGAGGCTTGAGATTGCTGGTGCAACCGAGGCGGCAGGGTTTGCTGTGGAAAGGAAGCCGAGCGCGGAAGAGGCAGCTTGTCCAGCGGCATTGGGAGCAGCAGTGGCCTCAGCGGCGACACCTGAGGCAACGGAGCCAAGGAATGAGGAAAGTTGGGAGGGTGCGCCTGATGCTGCGCCAGCAAGCGAAGAGGCTGCGCCAGTAGGGACAGCAGCTGTGTTAGCTGCGATAGAGCTCAACAAGGATGAGATTTCAGGAGAAACTGAGATTGTAGGGACTGCGGTAGAGAGGAAGTTCAATGCTGAAGAGGCAGCGTTGGCGGCATTTGGTCCAGCGGTGGCTGCAGAGGCAACCGAGCCGATGAGGGATGAGAGCTCAGCTACTGCGGCAGCAGCAGCTGGTGAGCTTGCTCCTGATCCGCCTACACCGACACCAGCACCAGCACCAGCGCCAGCGCCAGCACCAACTCCACCAAGGCCCGATGAGCCAGAGCCCGGGAGAGAGGAGGCTGAAGGGTTGAAGCACTCGGCAACAGCTGATGCCTCTGTTGACAAAGCATCAACAGCAATCTCAATGAGGTCACCAAGCAAGCTGATGTTGCCATTGTTCTTGATCTCAGCAATCACATCATCGAGACTGGAGCCACCGATGCTGTCAATGAGGGCCTGTCTCTTGGTAGGTATGGCCGAAGAGGTGGCCAGAAGCAGCGTGAGCGCCGAAAGGCCGGCGAAACGCATCTTGCTGGTCGAAAAGAGAAAAGATGAATGGAGAAGGGGGGTCGTTATCCAGTAGAAGAGATGAGTCGCTTGTTGATGAGAATAGAGCACTCACCGGGGAGCAACTCTCTTGATATAGCCATCTCATGTTGTAGGCTCGCTATGTTGTGATTCAATCTCCAGACTCATCAACGTCGTCTTCGGAGTGATCTGCGGAGTCTCGTTATGACTATCGACTCGTTCATTAGATTGTTTCAGACAGCTGGCCTTACATAGGTATGTCGTATGGATTAGCCGACAACATGTGGTGTAATCACTGGGGGTCACCGCCGTTAAGACAGTAAGACATCTCACGGAAATTGATCCTAACCGTACTGGACATGCAGTAGGGAGAAACAAATGGCGGAAGGAATGATCAAAATCCTTAACGACGTTTTCTGGATTCGGCTGTCCAAGCAATCACAAGGCCGGCTCTTGGATGATGCCACGGCTCATGCGGGCCATGGCTGAGAGTTGTTCCAGGTTTGCTGTGCTTCGTGGCTGCATCAGGCACGAGGCTGAGACGACAGCACCCTCGTTCAGAGATGTCACTGCGAGTGTACTATCGATAGACTAGGCACAAGGGCCTGGAAGCGGGGTGACAGGTGTCTAGCGAAGTATTCAGACCCTGTATCAGTAACAAGAGTGACGATCAATGTCAAAGCGAACTCTATATTGGACATAACCAAAAGCGCTAGCGGACCCTACTCCCGGATAGGTGGACTTCCAGCGCAAATGACGATACGGTTCGCGGCAGAGGAAGCGTTTACGAGAGAGAACCTGACGATTCTCAAACGGTTCATCCTGCACTTGACCTTTTGGGGTAGTTCGATGGAATAGGTATCCACCCCAGGTTACGCTATATAGAAGGGACTGTTTGTTGCGGGCTGAAGTCGGCGATTGATGTGGAGAGAAGCTGCGAAGGTTATGTTTGTCGAAGTATATTTCAAGAG